TGGTGGGCGTGACACTTGCAAGTCGATGGGATTGATGTCGGGCTCTGTGAGTGGATTCATAAGAGCTGCGCGGGCCTCTGCGATTGCATCCATCCTTTCGCGGAACTCCTGTTCTGATACCCGTCTCATATTGTTCATACTCTCGGCGAATTGCTGACCCGGATCTGGAAGTTGCGGTGGCCTGGTTCCAAGCACATCGACCACGTCGGTATTTGCCTGCCTGCTGGCGGCTCGGCGCTCTTCGGCTTCTCTATAGCGGTTCCAGGCTCTGCCGTACATGGTAGCCAGGGGACTAACATAGTCTTCGGACTGGACTTCTTCTCGTGTGCCGAGGGCATAAGGAACGACGTGGTGATGGTTTGCACCTTGGCCTGCATTCTGCTGTGATCTGCGGGATTGATTCGACTGCTGTGTGATGTCTCTCCGCGATCTGCGTGGTGGTACGTTTTCCTGGTTTCGTCCGAGCGGATTGTGCCAAGTGTATCTGTCCGAGCCGGATCTGGTGGAAGGTCTTTGCGGCGATGGTTGCCCAGGAAAGGCACTACTTCGAGCCGGTGAAGGTCCAACAGTTTGTGAGTCCTGTGGGGCAATAGGCTGGAGTAAAGTAGCTTGTAACGCTTCATTCATCCCATCAAACGACCACGGCTGGCGGGAGATATCGCGGATCTGGAAGGGGTTGGGTTGGCGACTGTCCATGTTGTCCGTTGGCTGGGGTGCCAGGCGAGAGGGCAAACGAGTGGAGGAAGATGTGTGAGACTGTAGATTCCAGTAATCTAGAATGCAGATTAACAATATGTCGATGAGTGAGTGACTGTAGATTGAAGACCCGGCGTTGGGGAAGCAGAAGAAAGTGACCGACTAACCACGACATTTCCAGCAGTAGCGCTGCCAGCGCTTGCCGACGAGCCGCATGCCGCTCCCATCAATGTAGGTTGGATAGGCAGTTTCCTAGACAGTCGTTCGTATCAGAAGCCTCGACCAGGCAGTCGCCACTCAGTGACTTTCTCCCCTGGGGACTCACGTGTGGTCTCTTATCGGAGCAGGCACAACATCCTGGCACGGCGGTCAGGGCACAGCCGATGACTGGTTTATGTTCACACGTCGCCATTGACGCTACTGTTGCTGGGGTTGCCGCCATCGTATCAAGGACGATGCAGCCCCGTCAAGCGGTTCACTACCAGGTGGAAATTCGACTCCTTCTCCCCCAGAGTGAATAGAATGCTTCCACATAATAAGACTCACATAAAATGGCCTGGTGGCGCAGAGGTCAACCTCGATTGGGTCAGAAGGTGAATTACTGTAGAAAGGTTGTGACAAACGCAAAGGACGTCGACGCCGCTGCTGCTGCCCACTCACCCACGTGCCGCGGCGCCAGACGCCGAAAGGCGGGCCCTTATCGAGAAGGCACGACGAGGCTGAATCTCAGCCTCGCCGCCAGTCTTACATGCCTGCGCCTGCGCCTCAAACATCGTTGACCTTGACTCGTTGTCCAACGTCAAGTCTTCACTCCATTTAGGCTGTTCCAGTCCCACGCCCTTCTTCCTACCGGCTGCTTCCGTCTCGCCAGGGGTCGTTGCTCCTAGAGCCCCCTGCAGAATATGGCGTTATAACACACTACGATTCATTGATCCTCCGATTCCCAGTTGAACCAAGTCTGCGACGCCATGCCACTGGTACCCAAGCTTGGCCAGCTTAGCCCTCTGCAATTGAGATTTGTAGCATGTCTCTCGGCTTCGCTCATCCTCTTACTTTTATACCTGACATTGACGAAGCCACATTTCGCTTACGCACATGAGCTGAATCCCGAAGACCACAATTACGCTTTCAACCTGGACAGTGAAGCCCTTGATGCTCCGGAGCGAACGAACACGGTCGTACCCCGCGCCGAGGACGGAGTGTCTGCGCTCGCAAATAACGGCCCTCAAAACAGCAACATTGGGATTGGCCTTACACAAAATTGGGTGTTCCCAAAAGACGTGATAGATGGTCCACATGGGGACCCGGGTACGGGTTTACCGGGCGAGAAGGTGGAGGCGACACAGTTAGAACCCGAGGTCCACGAACGCAGAAGAAGGCAATCAGGCACGACGGTCTATATCACCATCAACACTTGCTTGCAGCCCTCGTCAAATGTGACGGACGCCATTCCCCCGCAGCTGGAAATGTACATTTCGTTGTCTCCATCAAATCAGAAACCGGGACCTGGCTCTGGCACTCCGGTTTCAGTCATTGGCGGATACGGCGTGTACGAAGTGGACGCAACCGATGATGTGTACGTCGGTATAACAGCTCCCAACACCACTGCTTTCTCGGGCATCTGGAACTACGAGATTGCAGCCTCGATTGACGCACCGTATCACTTCTTCAACAGCTCAAAGACACCAAACTTATACTTTGTTGACAGCGACAACCACGCTGCTCTCCTAATCACCAACGACACCACCCAAGCCCTTCCAAATGAGACAGTCTACCAGGAGTGGATGAAAATGGACCCGCCCTATGGTGTGTTCGCGTCCAACCAAGACCAGCGCTCCATCCTTGGCATCCAAAGGTCGTTCTGTGGCTTGCGAAATAATGCTAAGCTAGCCGCAAAAATCAACGATGTCACCAACCAGAACGTCGCGACAATGACCAACAGAGGGATAGGCGGCAAACCCAAGGAGCAGTTCTACATCACGGGTCTGAATGCCACGTCGAGGTACTGGGGCATGCTGGTGATAGAAGGCAATTCCACCGCATCCGGAGCAGGCGTCGTGGGTGGTGGAGGCACAGTTTGGGCAGCGATTGACTTCAACACAAAGACTGAAGGCAATTGTGCATTGATGTACAACCTGTCATTCTGCTCAGAAGTTGCCTACGCAGTCCCCACAAACCCGAACAAATTCTCGCCTGAAACGGGGCTGCCCGACCTGGCGGCACTCTACGATTCCAACGCCGCGCAAATGTACCAATACTTCAACTACTCGCTACAGCAAATTCCCTGCAATACCACTTCTAGCGCACAATACTCCCTTGCCAGAAACTGCGATGATTGCGCCAGAGCGTATAAACAGTGGCTCTGCGCTGTCACGATCCCACGCTGTGCGGATTACTCCAACCCCTCCGGCTATCTGAAACCGAGAAATGTCGGGCAACCTTTCATCAACGGTAGCAGTATCTCCTCAGACCCGTCATTAGCTCCCGGGCAGGATCAGGCGCTGCTCGCTGCCGTAGCGACAAACTCATCAAGAAATCCGCTAATTGACACCTCAATTGCACCAGGCCCTTATAAGGAAGTTCTACCCTGCGAAGATCTCTGCTATGGTCTTGTCCAGAGCTGTCCTGCGAGCCTGGGCTTTGCGTGTCCGATTGCCGGAAAGGGGCTCGAGGAGAGCTATGGCAAGCGGGTCAACGAGAGTGAAGGTATCATCAGCTGTAGTTACCTGGGTGCGGCGTATTATCTGAGCGCGAGTTCGATGCTGACGCCGGATTTGAATGTCTATTGGGTGGCGCTTTTGGTGTTGATGTTTGCAATTGTCCTCTAACCGGGCTCGTTCAGCAAGAAATTCAGCAACTCGTGCAGCAACGCTGCGTCGAACACGAAATCAGGTTGTGACCGGCAGGCCGACAAGAACGACACGCTGCGGATACCGTTCGCCTCGGGCGGCTAAACCTTACCTACCTGCTCCATGCATATAGGAGGCGCCTTTGGCGCCAAATGCAGCCTTGCCCGCGGACGGAATACAACATTCGCCTTACAGGCATGCGTCAGTGCTGGGGTTCAGCAAAGAAGGTTGGAGGCTAGTAGGTCGAGTCTCCAACAACGTTCTACTTTATTTTGAAAGGGAATGCGTCAAGTCCACACACTCTGAAGGGCTTTTCGGTCCAAGCTGAGTCACTCAGAAAGCAAGAAGTCCGAATGCTTGCTCATTCCATTCTCCTTTGTCAGGAGACTATCGTCCATCTCCAGAGTGGTGGCACCAGCCACGGCTGGGCCTGATACCCATAAGAGTCCCTGCCAGGCCAAGAAGAAGCCGGTCGTCTCCTTGGTGGACACCTGCCAACCTACAGCGATAGACCAAGCTGCAGCAATCTATAGCGCCATTCTGTTCAACTGGATCAAAGACGAGGTATGGAGAAACGCAGACTGTCTTTAGATGAGATCATCCCTGTTACAGCAGAAGTTGTTGTCGAAAACCTTCGGCTGCAAGCGCTTCGAAAGCAGGGTGTTGTGCGGACAAGGTTGCACCCCAAAGCATGTCTGAACGGGGCATCGAAGAGCTGAACCCTACCTCGTCACTTCTGAGCCATTGCTGAGCTCACGCTTGCTCTGACCATGCATGTTTTTGGCAAGAGAGATTGGCCAATATCAACATGCCAGGCTGTTGGTGGCAGAGTCCTAGGGGACTCGTGCAAGGACTTGACCGTCTCACAGCGTCGTGTGCGTGTGATATGGGTGAGGACATCGTGATAACATTGGCGGAGCTGTTCCAGGGAGCATTTGAAGTCTATCATGACGTACGATCCGTACAGACCGCATGGCCAGAGATTCTGCCACTTCGAGTCACAGCGCGCCTAGTGCTAGCATCGTCGCCGTACTAAAGAGACCATTGGAAACAGCAAAGGCTGTGCGCAGCCACGAAGACGATAAGTTTACTTCGTGCTCCCTTGAATTCCAGCCTCGTGCCAAGACGTATGTGGAATAGGCCGGAGAAACCCGGGACGCGTAGGAGGCACACCAGGCTGAGCGGCGACGAGGCTGCGCATGACTCGTGGCAAGTCCCCAACGTCACGGCGGCGAGTCATGGAATCCGCTTCGCTCAGCCAAATCTTTGAACAACCACTTGAGCCATTTGCTTGCCCACACACTTTTGTCTGTTCTACTAAACAGTATAGCGATTCCTCGTCGATAAGATACCAACTGGGCAGTCGCAAATCCCCATGTCCGCCGTTTAGACGGTCGCATCACCAGTTGCGCTAGTGTCCCGATTCCCTTCCTACACACCTAGGCATCACCCACCATGGCCACCTCGCAGCCAAGTCAAGCCCTCGTGAGGCGGGCCTCAGTCGACGACGTGGCCCTGATGCCCCCACCGCCGTTCAAGCGGATCAAGAGGCCGCCGAAAGTGCTCGACGAGGATGAATACACACAGGCGCTGTCCGACATCATTGCGCGCGACTACTTCCCCGGCCTGTTGGAGAGCCAACTCCAGCACGAATACCTTGCGGCGCTGGAATCAGGCAACGACGCATGGGTTGCGGAAGTGGCGCACAGACTGAGACAGGCCGCCGCCCAGACGGCGGGTAGCGCGAAGAGGAGGGCAGCGCGAAGTACTCGCTTCGACAGTACACCGTCGGCAACGCCCACAAGAGCCCAAGATACACCGCTGGGAAACACAGGCGACGAGACGCCCATTAGCGTGGCTGGTTCTGCGATCTCAGATGGCGGAAGCGGGCTAGAAAAGCGAAACGGACAGTTGGACCTGGACACGGCAAGGCTGTCCCTAGGGGCCTTTCAAGCGAAATACACGTCCGAAGACAACGAGTCGTTCAACACGGTGCTCGACAAACAAAATCAAAAGCGCCGTCTCAAGCACGCGCACCTCTGGACCCAAGACCAGCGACTATCTTCGGCGCGACAGATCGCGTACCGCCGCGCCGCGCACGAAGCCCGCTTGCTCAAACAAAACCCAGAAGCACAAGCAGAGGAGGACGACGGGGATGCCACGGCGGCGGCGGGCGGGAAAGCACTAATCCCCATCCCCATCTCCAGTGGTGCGGTGGACTCCCGCCCCGCGAGGCCTGACGCCTGGAAGATCCAGAAGCCCGACAACACACTCATGTTCCCGGCCAGCTCGGTCGACGAGGACGGCATCCCGACGGTCCAGCAAGTCAGGGAGCAGACCTCCAAGGCCGGCGTCAAGGAGGTCGTGCACGCCAACACGCGGTTCCCTCCTCTCCACGTCCAGTATGCGGATGACTTCGCGGCGGGCCCCGTCCCACCAAGCCCGAGTCTCAACACCGAAATCATCGCCCAACGCGGACGACGCGGCGTCGGCGGCGGCGGCGGCCCAGGAAACGAGGTCTTCTCTGCTGCCTCGGAATTCCTCGGCAGCGAAACGCCCCGAGTCAACGGGTATGCCTTTGTGGATGAAGATGAGCCGGAGAATAATAATAATAATGTCCATGACCCATCCGCCGCCAACGGTTCGGCTTCGGCGCCAAGCTACAGGGATCTTCTCGCCGGGCAGGTCGGGGACGGGACGCCCAACCCGTTTACAATCAGCGAGATCCGCAAGCGCGAGGATCTGCACTTACGGATGGTGGAGAGGCAGGCGAAGAAGAAGCGAGACAAGGACAAGGAGACCGTCAGGACGCCCGTGTCCGCGGTGGCGCTAAGTGGCCAAAGAGGCGCAAGGACGCCCGCCGGCAACGTGACTCCCGCGGCCAGGAGATTGATGGAGAGGTTGGGCGCGAAGACACCCTCCTCGAGAGGTGCTGTGCCGGGCGATGTCGCCACGACGAGTAGTAGTACCCTAGATTGGACGCCGGGTCGCACACCGCGAAGGAAGACGCCGCTGGTCAAATGACGGGCCCGAATAAAAGCAGAAGTGGTCCGCTTGTATCAATTCCTGCCCCGTGATCAGGTCGTGTCCGATCTGGCCAGAGCTTGGATCTACATTCATAATCACATACATCCCACTCCCTACATGCGTACTCCGTACATTCCAAGGGATTGACAACATAGAAGAAGGAAGCCGAGGTCAAATAGTGTTAAATACGACGATAATACACGCTGCTCAGGGGTAAATGCCCAGGAGTGCCACAGCTTGATGGAGACTGGCAACTTTTCTCTTCCGTCAACCTGTCATCCTGTCACCCTGTCGCCTATCGCCATGCTATGCAGAATCTTGTCAAAAGGCTAAGGAGAGGCACACCCCATGACAAATCATTCGTCTTCATCGTCTCCCCTGCTGGCAGCACCAGAAGTGCCAGCCCCACCAGCACCCGCGTTGAAGGCTTCCTCAAACTCGCCCTCATCATCGTCATCGTCGTCGTCAGCAATGGTCCTAAGCTGCTTCCTCTGCCTTGCGGGAGGTCTGGGCTTCACCTCGTCTTCTTCCTCGACAACGCGTGCGTCAGCCATGACTTGATCGTCGTCTCTCTCCGCCGCCTCCGACGCCGGAGTATGAGCGGCAGGCCCCTCGGGCGTGGCCACAGCACTAGCCTCTTCCAACTCTGAATCTGAATCCACAATGACCGCCGAGGACTTGTACCTGCTCTCGTTCTTCCGGCGCGCCGATTCTTTCCCAGCACTCTTTCGTTCAAGCTTTCTCCGCTTTTTCTTGGGCTTTTCGGCGGTAGCTTCGCCGTCCGTTCCACTCATGGGGGTTCTCGAGACGCTTCGTTCACTCTTTCCGTCTTCGTCATCCTCGATGAAACCGTCCTCGTCGTCTCTCTTCTTCCGTTTCGAGCCGCCTCTCTTCTTCGCCTTTCGCTTCACCCGCTCGCCTGTCTCCTCGTCATCAGTGTACTCGGCAGCTTCTCTTGCGGCAGCCTCTGCGCGGATCTGCTCGGCAATGCGTTCTGTTTCCTCGACGAGCTTTCTCCGCTCCATTGCGATCTTGGCCGCACGCTCTTCTTCTTCTTCCCTCCGCCTCCGGGCTGCCTCTTCGCGTCTGCGAAGCTCTTCCTCACGTCTCTCCTTGGCCTCTTTCAGCTTGGTGGCATTCTCGGATTCGTAGGCAGCTTGCTTCACGCGTTGTCGCTCAAGTTGGTTCCTCATCGTGTTCTTACCCATAGCAGCTCGCTGCTCCAGGGCCGTCCGAGGATAGGGGGGCTGTTTGTGCTTCGCGACCCGCTCAAAGGTCTCGATGGCCTCCTCCAGCCCAGCGGCAGCAGCGTCCACGTCTTCCAGCGTCCGATCCGTTTCCTTGGCTTGGTTGACATGCTGAGCGATCTGGAATTGAATGAATGCCACGTTGAATTGCAAGTGAGGAGAATCGGCTTGGGTGGCTAGTGCGCGCTTCATGTAGTCGAGAGCAGTGTTCAGAGCAGGGATGGATCTATCAGCCTTGCCTTTCAACAGCCATGCCCTGGACAGACACGCCAGTAGCTGTGCATTCTCTCCCTTGGCTTCTTTTCTCAGAGCAATCTCGTAGTTGTCAATGCCCCGTTGAAACTGCCGAAGTTCGGTCATCACATGGCCCAGGTTGGTGTTTACCGAGGAGTCACGAAGAGTGTCCTTGACCTTGGTGAAGATCTGCAGAGCGTCGGAATATGCCTTCTTGTCGTCACATAGAGCGATAGCAATGCCTTGAGCGGCGTAGGCGTTCCTGGGATCCAATTGTAGAGCCTTGTCGAAAAACTCGTAAGCCTTGACATACATTTTGCTCCGCTTCTCCTTTTCCTGCTCAGTGTTTCGAGGCATGTCTCTTGCGATTGTGAGATGGACGTTGCCCATACCAACAAGAGAGTAAAGGTCGTGCTTGTCATAGCCTTGCAAAGTATGCTTGTAGTGTCGATTTTCAGCATCTTCTGCAAGATTGTTCGTCTTCCTCTTGGCGCTGTGATGGTACCAGCCCATCAAAGCCCTCACTTCAGTGTTGCCATAGTCACTCTGATAGATGGCATGAATCTTTCGAGGACCTTCGTCTCGAGGTGATGACTCCAAGGCTATGAAAGCTAGGCGTGCAGAAGCGTCGGTATAGTCCGAGTGCCTTGCAAGGAGACCTTCATATACCTTTTGAGCCTCCTCTATCAAGCCCAATGCCTCCAAAGTCCGGGCCAGGTTGTAGGATATAGTGGTCACCAAAGCATCAGTGTCACTGTTGTCGACATCTTCCGCCGCGATCTTCTCCTCTTCCAAAGCCTTCTTCTCGGCTTCCTGCTTCTCAGTAAGCTTGACACATGCATTGAGCGCGATCTGGAATGTCTCGCGAGCGATCGAGTACGATTCTTGCCCATACAGGAAGCAGGCCATGTTGTTCAGAAGCTGAGGAGGCAAGTTCTCACGCAGTTGTGCGATATAAGTCCCCTCTTCCTCGTTGGGATCTGGCTTGTCCTCATCTGGAATCTTTTCGAGTTGCATTGCTTCAACTGTTTGCAAACATTTCAAGCTCTCAATCGGATTCTCTTGCTCGTACAGTCTCGCCAGGTAAAGCAAGACCGATTCATCGGGCTTGTTCCGGGACTTCTCGTCCTTCCAGGTTTTGCGGACGCTCTCCAGTAATTGGATTGCCTTGCGCGCGGCGGTTGTTTTGTCCTCCTTCGAGGCGGTGCTCTGGGATGAGAACGCTTCTTCAGCGTAGATGCAGCCCAGCAGAGTCATGGCCTCGACGTGCCGGTTGATCTGAGCCAGGTTTTCAAGGCGGAATTTGGCCCCTGCGATATCGTGTGTCTGGACCAAAATCTGAATCAGACCGAACTTTGCTGGGAAGTATCCTTTGTCGAGGCCACCGCGTGCTTGGTCTGCCTTGTTGTACTCATCGTTGGCTCTCGACAGATCGCCCTTGTTATGATCCTTCCGAGCCAACAAATACCACCCATCGCTAGCGACTGCGTTGATGTCGGTTTGCTCAATCGCTTTCCGTGCCAATGGTTCCACGGTCTCGTAGCGGCCAGTCAATAGAAAGTAGCTAGCGAATGTCGCGCAGCTGAGGGGGAAGTTCTTGTCGATTGTGTACGCCTTCTTTGTGTGATCGATCATAGCCTTCTTGTAGAGAGCGTTGAACTGAGGATCAGATGCCGGGTATTTGGCGCTTTCATGCAGATAATAGACGCCCAGCAAGGCATGCGCGACCTTGGAGTTTGGATTTAGTGCTAAGGACCTTTCCCAGGCCATCTTTGCTCTGTCTTGATAACCCAACTGCCACAAGCAACAACCAATGCCTATCCGTGGGTCTGGGTCTGTGAGGCCCGGCATCTTGGCCAGTACATCTTGGTACGCATGTAGTGCGGGTCCGTATTGCTTCAACAGGTAGAGCGACCTCGCTCTTCCCATGACAGCCATCATGTTACGACCCTCGGAGCTCTTGAGCGCGTCATCGAAAGACTTCAGCGCTTGTCTCAGGTGTTCCGTTCTTTCGGCTTCTGCACCGGTTTTGGTTGACGCTTGCAAGGAGGCTCTGAGGAGGGAGAGGACACCACGGGTGAGGTGGAGGGGGGGGAAAGAGGGATTGATTCGCAGGGCATCGTTGATGTTTGCCAGGGTTTCTCGGAGGTAGTGGTCCTTGGTCTTCACGTCGGCGGCTTGCTGGTTCTCGGGGGGAACACGAGGTGCTTGTCTGCTCTTCTGCAGGTTCAGCCAGGCTTCACAAGCCAACAGCGGCAACCGGTCCTTGGGGCCGCTTCTTGCCAGCGACTGAAGGCCTTTGCTCAATATCTCAATAGCGTGATCGGTCTGGCCTTGCTTTGCGTAGGCAAGCGCAATTGTAATCCACAAGTTCTTTGCAGCTTTCTCATTCTCCAGGACCTGGCAGATTCCGTCGGGATCATCCAAGTGATCTTCGAGATTGACTTCCACCGCTTCGTCCGGTTCCAGCCCGCCGGATACAGGAATGTCGATGGCAGAAGGGATGTCAGAGAATCGCGTCGCAGGAGTAATGCCTGGAGCCAGCCCGTTGGTGACGCTGGCGGTGCCGCCATTTCTAGCGACGGCTGTCACCATGGTCACTATGCGGAGACGGGAAGCAGTCGATTCAGGTGGATCAAATCATGGTGGACAGGGAGCACAGGAAGACGGTCGGATGCGAGCTGACACGAGACAACCAGTCTCTCAAGTGCGACTGTGGCGAGGATGAAGTCGAGGGGAAGTTAACGACAGTACGGAGACACTGCTTTCACAAAACTGCGAGGCGCTGTTGGCGTGCATCACAAAGTTCGCGGCTCGGCTGCACTTTCCCGCCCCAACATGCTCCAGCCTCGCCGCAGCCTTGCGCTTTCACGCTCACTGTCAGCTCACTTCCAGCTCACTTTCACTTCACGATGCAGTGACAGCTCAATGAGCCAAGATTTCATATACAGATCCGCTATATATAAGTTGCGTAATATCTATCTGTCCCGTTCCTTCATCAATAACGTAATCGACCGATGTCAAACACAAGCCGGGGTTCGTCGAGATCGATCGTAAGCTGCCCTTTCTCGTCGATAGTGACATGCTCATCCGTAGTTGGCAGAGCCTTCTCACTATGTTGCACCTCTTGCCGACTTACGCCTCCTGGATCTCGCGGTATCCACAGCGTAGGCGGCTTCATCATCATCGAGGGCGGGTAGTAGATGTCTCGCTCGATCTCCTCCGGATACACTGGATCTGGTAGGTCTTGCGGTACCATTTGGCGGAGAATTGTGTAATCAGAGTACACTTCTGGATGAAGCCACCGTAGGAGGAAGTTCGACTCCTGACTCGGATCGGGCGAGATCCATCTCATCCAGAATCCTCCCACTGCAGCCATACCTAGGTCGACCTCTGGCAGCTCCCGCTTGAATTTCTTGGTGAGCATAGTCTTGACGCCTCCCCCTAGCGCACTGAATGCCCCATCTGCGCCTTCCAGAGTCCGATTTTCACCATGAACATGTCCATCTTCGTCATTCAGGAAGTCGTGCGGTTGCTGATACTGCTCTGCATCCTCCAAATGCCGAGACCGTCCATTTGTCGCGCGGCTTCCGAGCAAGTGTTGGTCCTCCTCCTTGGTCAAACTCTTAGGAAGACTCCACAGAAGAGGTCCCAGCGCATCGATGAGCGAGGTGTGCACCAGGCCAGTCAGGGCCAAAAGGATCGCCGTCAACACCACCGGGACATACGCGCCCCTCAACGAAAAAAGGCCGATCATACAAATCTCCGAGAAATATAAGCCCAAGAGCAATTGCATCAGAGCCCGCGGATACACGAGCCCTCTGGTATCGATCTCGGAATCATAGACATAGATGAGGTTGTATCGGAACACAATATGTAGAAATCCGACTCCGACAATAGCAAAGCCGAGGATGATCGGCGCTATGAGCGCGTAGGTGAGTGCTGCGATCAATGTCAGCCACGGGAGGAGAGAAACTGATGTGCGACAACACCTACTAATGACGCCGAGATTGGTATAGACGGGGAATATGCCTCCCCAATGGATCCGCTGCAGTCGATGCCACCTCAGATATGTCTTTCGAGGGTTATTCGAGAACTTCTCAAACACGTGAAAGTGGAATAGATTGCCGAACTGGACAAGCGCTCCAGCTCCGAGCGCAAGGCTCTGCAGGAGAAAGTAGGATAGGTAAAAGTTTGACGCCTTGGGGAGGTTCTGAGAAAGCAAGTCCTTCGCGGTTGTTGGGTCCGCTAGCAGCTTTGTGACGGCTGCCGAGGCAGCCGATGTGAGGGTGGTGATCAGGAAGACCTGGACGACTTGGAAGGCAAAGTAGGCGTGCTGGGTGTAAAGCTCGATTCCGGTCAGGGTAGGGACCCCCCCTATTCTCGCGCAATCTGTAATAGTGAGCAGATGGTCCATGAAGCCTGAACAGAATACCTACACCTCAATATGCCCGGAACAATGCTCATTAGAAGAGACAATGCCAGAGCGGGAAGGACGCCGCTAATGATGCTCGTCACGGCGCCGGGCAGATCTGCTATCCAGCCTAGAAAAGGAACCTTTTCTGACAGATATTCGATGTTAGAAATTGTGCCGACAGCTGCCGAAGGAATAGCCCAGAATATGATCAATGCGGTGATCAACGCCTTGATGAGGAACCTTCGGGCAATTGTTTCCCACCAAGACATCGACAACGAGTGCCACAAGATCTCAAATGGGCGTACACCGAGATAACGTTGAGCCATGTGTAACGGACGGTGGTGGGTCAGCGTCTGATAAGCATTCTGTGCGTCTGTATGTGTTTCGAACTCGACAAAGACCGAAGGCAGCATGCCATCAGTCTTGAACAGCAGGTCCCGTCGGACTCTGGCGATCTGCGAATTCAGCTTTTTGATTTGGTTCCTGGTCCATTTAATGGTGTCGACTCGCCGGCCATAGTTTGCAATCGGCCGGTGGTGAGGTCTCGAGCTGTGAGAAATCCATTGAGACGCCACAGAGCCGTTGACATCAGGTAGGGGACGCTCTTGACCGTCCTCCGCAGGTCTAGAGGTGGTGTCTGAGCTGTCCGATGCCTGCACGGCTTCGCCAGCAGTAGATTTCGAGGCTGAACTGGTCCTTTCGTCCTTCACATCGTGGTGGGAAACCGACGCGGAGCTGTGCTGCTTGCTGCTCTCCCTCTGTGCCTTTTTGAGCGCCTTTGTCCTTGCAGCGTTCGCCATCCTGATCAGCGCGAATTCAGCCTTTTCCAGCCGCATGGCTGTCTGCTCCCTTTCTTTGACCATTCGCTCCAGCTCGTCGGTCGTTTGCGGGATCCAGATTCTCTTGACGGAGTCACCGAGCATCCACCGAAGCCTGTCCTCATCCAGGTATTGTCGCGGTACGTTCACGTACAACACCGTTCGCGATGAGAGCCGGTTCGCGTAGAATGGCGAGAGCAGATATGCTTGACGTAGATTGATGTAGTATATACACTCACGGCTGACCATATACAAGACGAATACTGCGCAATGTGGTTAGGATTCACGTACTGTCGCGGGAGAACGAAAGCGACTCACTGAAATAGACCCAGGCAAGGATGGCATGAGCGTAGAACCGGTTAGAACTAACGACATTGCCTAATGTCAAGGCATCCAGCTCGCGATTACCTGCACCTCCCGTCGCATGTAGGGGGAGCAGGATTGGCCAAAGCAAGGCAATCCCAACCAGACATATCACACCAAGCACGCGAAGAAATCGCAGAAACAGATATCCATCGAGGGATGAGTGGTTGAGTACGAAAGCAGGGGGGATTTTGTAAAAGTCCCTGAACCAGTTGAACCATCCATTAGGTAGAGGGGGACTCCTTTCACTACAGCACGTTATCAGCTTTAATTCACACTTCCAGACGGGGAGTGCCGTACTGAGGCTCCAGACTTCTCAGCAACGTCCTCGGAGCATAAACACGAGGGCATTTGCGCCGCGAGATTATGAATATAATGATACAAATCGCGGCCCATATCAAGACCGGGACCAAAGTCGCAAGAAGATTTCTGCCGGACGAAGAATTGGAGCCGGCTACCATGCGCGATAACCCGGGGCTCGTTGAGTTGTCGCGGGCGGAGCCGACCCGGGGATCAGTCGCATCCATCGAGAGAAGGTCATATCTAGCCCGTCGCGGTGTCTTGAAGCGTGTTCGCTCAGGCGTCGCCCCAGAGAGGCCGTCGAGACATTTTTACATCAAAGAGCGTTCGCGGCGTCGGGTTTTTAGTGCTAAATTCTGGGCCAGCGCAAGCCGCGAGAGGAAAGTGGAGGGCGGCGTTCGAGTCGTCAAATCGAGGTCGAGACTTCGGCTAAAGCACCATGCACAGGGGTGTTGGAAGATTCGTTGGGCTTGGAGCCAATCGCGGCAGGCTTGACATAAAGATCGCTGATGGCTGAACCAACGCGCAATAGCCAATCGATAGCTGCGGCCACCAAGCCGAAGGAACTGTCCTTCCGGCAGACGTCGATCTCCGGTTCGGCACAAGCTGCTTCGTTAGAAAAGGGGCGATCTGCTTGCATCAGCTACTAGTGGCCAAGAGGGTGCATTGGCGGAAGGATCTGCTTGGGTGCCCAGAGTCGCTGGAGGTGTTCTGGCAGTGTACTCGTTCATAAAGGGTGGAGACGGACGTCCAGGTCAATCGCTAATGTGCTTCAGTCTGCCAAATCTGCAGCACTACGCAACCAGACCTTTCGGCAAAAGGGGGACAGCCTGCTGATCACGGACAGAACTCATCCGTTTCAGCCTTGGGTTGCCTCCTGATGGTGTGATTCTCAGCCCCTGGTCGAGTTGCTACGAGGTATCCTGTCACGATGCTTTGGCTTTTGGCCGATCTTCAAGTTTCAATGGGCTCTCATAACAACGACGATATGGGCTGAAGCCGTCAGTGGGTAGGGTAGGACTACGAGTCTTGAGGAACAAGGTCGAAGCGGGAAAAGAATGCCTCAGAGTAGGGACTAGGAGAACTCGCCGACGTCTTTCTTCAACAGTAGACTAACCACCTCTCTTCGCAAAAAGATCACGGAGCCATTCGCACATTCATGAGCTCCGTCGACTGACAATGGTATCGGAAGGGTGAAATGCAACAATATTCAAGGCCTATTCAACATGAATCGCCAAGGAATTTGCGCTTCACTTCACTTCACTTCATACTCAGCCCGCCTTGAAGTCCAGCGGTATTTATTCTCGTTCTGCAAGCACTTTCACTCTTGCTCATTTCCTTCTCTCGCCGGACCAACTTGCATCCTAAAAGCGAAAGGCGATGTCTTACATCTTTGACTCCTGGCTCTCGAAGTACCCTCAGCTGCTTACACTAGAAGGCTCGGGGTTTGCTAATCTTCAAAGTAGAGCCCACAAAAGTACCGATTTCACAGACTTAACAATCAGATGTGGTGCCAGCGAGTTTCGAGCGCACCGCGTGGTCGTCTGTTCACAGTCGAGCTTTTTCAAGGCTGCCTGCGTCAACGAGTGTCGAGTAGGTCCGTGCGAGTCTATCCAGAAGCCTGTTTGTCTGATCTGTCCACAGGAATCTATGACCGCCACCATTGAACTTCCAGAAGATGAACCGCAGATTGTCGAGAGACTAATAGAATTCTGCTACCGCTCTGACTACGCCAACTTTTCCGCCGACCCGTTCCTTGGACATGGCAAAATCTTCGCCGCTGCCACCGAATATGGAATCCCACGTGCAGGTCTCGCAGTAATGATGAAATACGAAGCCGCCGCGCACAATGACTGGGATGCCGCCAAGTTCCTCCTGTCAATTCCTTACATTTACGAGTCTGTCCCCGAATCCGGTGTCGGCATGCGAAACACAGCTGTCAACTGCGCTAAATCTCGCATGAAGAGACTGACAGAGGGCGAGAAGCAGTACAATGCATGGAAGCGTACATGTTTGGATGTGCCTGAATTTTGATTTGATGTTCTTCACGAGGTAGCAAAGGAGTCCTTCCGGTTTTATTGTCATTCATGCCAGGATCTCGCGCCACTCAACGCGAGGCTGATCAAAAGCGGATGTTGCGGAGCTGATGTGGACAGCGATCCAGGATTCATGGCGCTGGAACCCCGGTAGGTTCCTACATGAGACCTTGGGCACTGAGCAGATGGCGGTGATTGTCTAGGATCTCGATTGGGTGGATAGACTTGACTCGAGGTGAAAGCACATTACAGCATGTTGTAAAAGGGAACGATGCATGCCACATTCGCATAGGGATAGACGAGACATGGCATCGCAGATGGCTTACTCAAGGCTGTCCGCGCAGATGTTGTCGATCTGAGCATGGCGGAATCGGGATTACCCCATAAAGCGAGCCACTGGCATTAGTAATTGCGATACCTCAATCCAGATCAGATCGGAACATTCCACACTCTCCCCAGGTTTCGGTCAAGTTTGGAAATATCGTGTTTCCCCATGCAGCCGTCTAGTCCAGGCACTGATGTGCCTTTGACGACTAGCCGCTTTCCAGGCATTGTGATGAAGCTGACTCACCCCAGAAGTGTGACCATTCAAAGCATCGGCCATGGAGCATCACGCGGAATTCTGTCCTCCACCAGGCCCGCGTGAACGTGTGGTAATCTTGAACGCCGTCTATCACTTATTCTATAAGTACGCGCACATTGTCGACATCACGCACAGTAATGAAAACCCCTTGCTGTTGCGACCATGGCGAACGCCAATCTCTCACCAGATGATCTGACAATCGACAACCTCACACCGCACGTTATCAAACTCAGCTCAAACATCGAAAGCGAACGGCTCAAGTTCGTCTTCGCGAAACTGATACAGTACTCACATGATTTTGTCCGTGACACGAAACTGACCACGGCGGAATGGGAGGCAGCATGGCAGTATCTCACGGAGGTATGAGCAAGACAATCTCTTTCAGCTTAAATCTCACTCTCTTCTCAGGTCGGCCACTTCTGCACGCCGGATCGACAAGAGATGATTCTCTTATCTGACGTGCTTGGCATATCTGCACTCGTCGACGCGATCAACAACCCAACCGCTCCTCGGGCGACAGAGTCATCGGTGCTGGGGCCGTTTCACAACGATGCTCACGAATTCGAAATCGGCCAGTCAATTGCATCAAAAGGCGCTATCGGAGAGCCCATGCTCATCCGAGGGACCGTCTCCGACACAGATGGGACGCCGCTTTCTGGCACCTTGGTCGACGTGTGGGAAACCAACGGCAACGGCTTCTACGACATGCAAGATCCCGAGAAGGACGAGCCGGACTGTCGGGGCATCTTCCATACAGATGAACAAGGGAGATTCGCGCTTGTTGGGGTTCGCGCCGTTGACTACCCTATTCCGTACGATGGTCCCGTCGGTGTCCTTCTGCGGTTGCTCAATAGGTCAAATGTCCGGCCAGCTCATGTGGTAAGTGGGAATCGTCACCACGAGAAAGCGCTGGCCACATGCTGACATGCCTTGAAATGGCAAAAGCATTTCGTACTTCAACATCCCGGATGCGTCCGGCTCACCACGGCACTATACTCTCACGACAGCAAGAATGTGGCGCTGGATCCGGTCTTCGGCGTCAAGAAGAGCCTTATCAAGCAGTTTGCATGGTCGGAAGACGCGGCATTGGCAAAGGAATTCAATATTGACATGCTCGAAAAGGTGGACTCGTCCGGGAAGAAAACGGTCGGGTTCTGGATCTTGGAGCACGATTTCGTGCTCATGAGGAAATAGACCACAGTGGCGAGCGCTTCATCAGCAGTACAGCAAGCGATGCCAGCGGGTTTAGGGGGGCTTATCCTCTTTTGTATTTTATCAGCAAGGCCATTCTGTCCCATCAACCTGGTAAATCAGCTTTTCACCACCGATCTTTCCCTCCTCCATCTGCAGCAGCCCGTCAGCCACGCTCGAGAGACCACCACGCTCGAGGCGATGCGGGTGTGGCCTCCACTTGCCTTCCTGCCACAGTCTCTCAGCAACGGGGCCGAAGCTGGACGCAGACACGAAATGCTCGGGCTGCGCTTCATAATACTCTCCTTCAAAGATAAAGGGCTCCCCAGACTGGCTGTAGGCGAGGAAGAATCCCGACGGTATGTCTCGACGCGCGCAGTCAACACCCAGCAGGTTGCGGTAGATGCCTCCCTCATCACCGATTGCTTTGGCGCAGACCCTCGCAGTCGTTTCAAGGGAGACTGTGTCGAAGACAAGCTTCAGAATCCCACTAGTCGCGTCTCTGATGGGTACGCTCACCTTGGGATCATGCTAATAGAACACGAAGCTGTCAATATGCCACGTCTCCACTCTAACGCAGGGACGTCGAGCCCACATAATCGTATACGAGGCCTGCGCCAAGTTCTTTCACGAAGCCAAAGTGTTTCGGCGAGTAAGTGGTGACAACTTGCCACCCAGATCTGTGCAGAAACGGCGACTTTCAGTACGCGCCCTTTGTTGTCTTCCTCATGTTTGGACTCACAGACGTGCAAACTGAGTCGCAAGACTGCCCGTAACTGTACGATCGCCGTAGATGAGGATTGACCTCGGCTCGATGCCCTTAGTCTTTCCGGGCAAAGGAAGGTCGAGGACATTGTAGAGGCCGAAACCTAGAGTCCCGATTCCAACTCCTATGTGCACGCAGCCTCGAAGCTCACGCCCTCTAGGATGTGCATTTGGAGGTTTCCCTCGACGGCGATTAATCTGGCGAAGGCTCCATTTTCGGGATTGGTCATCGTTGGCTGCAATCCTGTCATTTTTGTCGCGGTTAGGCAATTCGTGAATTCAGGCCAGTTCCGTGAGCAAAACAACCGTCGATAGTCCCGTCCTTGCCGACAGCGAGGACAGTGGTCAAGTCCGTTGGATTGGGCTCAATTGTTCATTACAGCTCGAACCAAAATAGAGTCATCCAACAGTGTAGGATTGGCAACGGGCTTCGAAACGGCTCGCCCTGGGCCTTCGCGGATCATACCAAGGTTCTGTGGACGGGCAGATATTGTACGAAGCTATTCTATGCTTAACTTGGAAACATGGTGTGAAGCCTGAAGCTGTCGACAAAGGTGAAGCGACATTTTGTACCTGTTATTGAAGGTCACTGGAGACTGTGTCCTTGTGATCTTGTCTTCGACCTTCAGGGCAGAGTTACCAGCAGGCTCATTAAGCCGGGTGTGGTAGACTTCCTGTCTGTGAAGAGAGCTGCGAGATTTGGAAGTGAAGCTTTGTCAGGCTGGATGCCTTCCCCACTCCGATTTCTACGCCGGAGATGAATGGGGGTTGTCGCTCGGTCCCTAGCTGGCGCCCGTCGAAATACGCGGCAATAGATTGGCCCCTAAACCTAGGGCTTCCAGGGCTCCCTATGCCTAACACCTGCCTTTTCGGGGCTGTCCTAGTTAGGGTGTTTCTGGGTGCTCCGGAAGTCCCTGCGAGGCAAGTTTGGCGGTCCATGTACGAGTACAGTACAGGATCTTGCAAGAGCTGATTGTTACTGTAAGAGAACTGTTGTCGATTCTCTGTCGACTCGCTTTTCGTCCCGGTCATCCACTGGTCACGTCCTCCCCAATCATGGCACTACGTTCTTGCACGTCGCACAGACATCCTTCGAGACTGCACTTCAAGATGTGCTCACTTCACTTTTCACCAATGCGGCTCTCATCAGCATGGAGAGGACAAACTCCCGGAGACGCAAAGCCAAGGTCAGCGAAGCCAACTCGCCGGTTGATGCTTCGGTTATGGTCGAGTTGACGCCACCCAAGGACGAGGTTTCTACAGCTTGCAAGGCACCGTCATGGCTTCCGAATACCGCCTGTTGGGTTGTGGTGTTGCTGATATTCGTCTTAACCGCAGCCTTTCTTCTCGCTTACCCTGAAGGCCTTCCCTTGATCAATGAGCAGAAACCCACGACGATCCAAATACACGGGGATGAACAATACCATGGAGGCGTCGGTATAGTTCTTCATCCCGAATCTCATGTCAGCCGTCCACCCGCTACACTGTGCTTTGATTGGCGAGTCACGAAGGCTTTCCGCTCGCCGGACGGCGTTCGAAAGGAAGTGTATGTCATTAACGACCAGTTTCCCGGTCCAACTATCGAAGCTCGCTCTGGAGATCGAATCATTGTCAATGTCACAAACCTCCTCCATAAGGAAGGCCTTGCTATACACTGGCACGGTCTGCGGATGAAAGATGCTAATGACATGGACGGCGCAGTCGGCTTGACGCAGGCCCCAATCCAGACAGGCGAGACCTTTTTGTACAATTTCACAATTGGCCACGACGAGTTCGGCACCTTTTGGTACCATGGCCATGAAAAGACACAGCGAGACGACGGTCTCTACGGTGGCTTCATCATCCATCGCCCTGTTGAACAGTCTGATGAGAAAGAAGTGTATGACTATGCTCAGGAAGTCTTGCTTCTGATAGGTGATTGGTACCATCGGCCAAGCACTGACGTCCTCAGGTGGTACATGAATTCCAGATCCTTTGGGAACGAGCCCGTGCCTGACTCTCTTCTCATCAATGACCACGGCAATTTTGACTGCGACATGGCAGTTCCTGCCCGACCTCTTCAATGTACTCCTCCAGCGGCAAGAGATGAGCTGCCGTCACTGCGCTTCGACCGCGGTCATCGTTATCGTCTACGCTTGGTTAATACCGGATCCCTCACTGGGTTTTCTCTCAAGGTGGATGCTGCGAGTCTGTTCCCTTTCCAGGTTGATGGTGGCAACAGTATCGATATGGCCGAGGCGCAAAGCATTGGCATTGTCTATCCTGGAGAAAGAGTCGATGCCATCCTGCTGCTCGAATCAAATTACCGTCGACGAGAGCTAACTATCGAAATGGATGACGAGAATTTCAAGTACCCCAACCCGGCACTCACCCCGATGCAGACATTCCCAGTCACTTCTTCACCGAGCGACGGCGATGCTACCCAGCCTGTACCCCCGATGCTCGAGTATTACAATCTACAGGCAGCCGTATCCGGCTCCGGGTCCTTGACAGGGATGACTGAAGAGCCGCTGAAGTTTGTGGTCTACACGACAACAATGAAATTGGCCAAGCATCACAACATCCCTATGGGATTTATCAATCACACCAGTTGGTCACCTCAAGCGGAGCCACTGATCTCACTACCTCGATCACAATACGACCGAAACCAGCTATCGCCTCACGTTGGATTGTGCCAGACAGAGAACGAGACAGCTGCTTGCAACGAATGGGTGGAGGTAGTCATCAACAACCTTGACGATGGCGGACATCCTTTTCATCTGCACGGTTACTCGTTCTATGTTGTCTCGGTATTTCCACCTCCCATCCCGTGGAGTAGTGAGAAGCCACCTTTCACACCAGGTGGATCCGGGATGTACAATTACAATCCCTTTACGACCACGTCAGCTGTTTCGCCGGCAGGGCCATACAATCTGGCAAATCCCGTAGTGAAGGACACGGTCTTCGTTCCACAAAGAGGCTATGCTGTTATCAGATTTCGAGCGGATAACAAAGGCATCTGGATGATGCATTGCCACGTTGGCTGGCACCTGGGTAGCGGGATGGCCATGAGTTGGGACGTCAGTTGATGGTAGTCTCCCAATGCTACTGTGGTCTCAGTCTGCTCTACTACGTCCCTTAACTCCAGTAAACCGCCGAGCGCATCAACCCCTGGACCGTCGCTCCATCCGAAGAGCCAACCCAATCTGAAAGGGGATAGGGACAACACATGTTTTCAAGCATTTGCTGCAGTGGCCAAGATGCGCTTCTCGAGGGGGTTCTGCAGTTGCAGAAAGCCTCGAAAGGATCGAGGTCGCATTGCAGGACTGCGGAAGAGGGAAGGATGTCCTTGCGTGGATCTCCGCGAAGTTGTACAAACGAATCGTTCTCGACCCAGAATCAACGTGCCTGCAACCTGGAAAGCTTAAACATCAAGCATTTGCAAATCATGCCTAAGAACAGCTTACGGCTGGCGTCGTCTTTCTGGTGCATCATATCTGGCACTCTTCACTCAACTCAGCTACCTCGTGGGAACTGTCCACCTCGGCACGAAAGCCGCAGGCTCTCCTGCTTGGCTGGAAACGTACTGCCGTTGCGGTCCAGGGCAGAGGACGAGGCTTTCTTTAAGCACGTGCAAACACCCCCGGCCTGCTTTCCAATTCCATACGCCTGATAGGCTGCTATACGCATCCACGGCGGGAATGGAGAATACAATGCAGCCTGCGGGTCTACCGATGAAAGGAAGAGAGGACCTGAATGCTATAAAACGGCTTTGTGGCGTGTCGGATCACCCTATCGAAGTTTATGCTTGAGAGCGACACCCGAGAAACGCCCAAAACATGCGGGCTTTTCCCACCCTGCTGGCTATTCTAGGCGCCGGCTCCCTTGGGAGCGGCGTGCTCGGGGATTCGCTGGCAAGCATCGACCATGTTGTCCTATTCATGCAGGAGAATCGAGCGTTTGACCATGTATGGACCAGGATGGACTAGGAGACCTGGAGCTAATGCTCTCATAGTACTTCGGAACGATGGCTGGCGTTCGAGGTTTCTCTGACCCCAATGTACAAGTGAATCCTAATGGTAAATCAGTCTGGTACCAGTAGGTGGACTACGACGACTCGCGAGTGGACGGTCTCCTCTAACGCTAACTAGGAAACTGAACAAGACGATAACGAAGGATGCCGATTATCTGCTCCCTTTCTATCTCAACGAATTGGGTGGCCACTGGTTGAATGCTACCCAGTGTATGGACGCAGGATCAAATGGTTATGAGGAGAACCACTTGGCCTACAACGGCGGTCTTAATGACCACTGGGCCCTCAACGTGAGTACTTTGACCCTTGACAAGAACAGCTGCTTGGACACGGCCTTTCTCCTTGGTAGGCCATCTTCTGACATTGATACCTTGCAACAGAACACGCCATGGAGCTGGGGCTACTATAAGAGGAATGACCTCCCTGTCCAGTTTGCCCTGGCAGAAGGCTGGACTGTAGGCGACATGTACCAAGAAAGCGTCATCGCATCGACCAATCCAAACCGTGTGACGTGGGTGAGCGGAACGTAAGTGGCAGGCACCTCTCAATGAGTTTTGTGGTCACAGCGATTGAGCTTGGCTCGGGCTGACATCCCGGCTCTCGTAGAATCAACGTGCCGGGCTCACCGCAGACAGCAAACCAGGGGGGCGTGTACATCGACAATAACGAAGTCCCCGGGTGCGAGATGCCAGGGGTGAATTGCTACCCACTGTCGTGGACCACAACCCCTGAGATATACCAGCAAGCTGGCGTTACATGGCAAGTCTATCAAGATGTCGACAATTTCGACGACAACCCCCTCGCCTGGTTTGCGCAGTATCAGAACGCCAAAAATAGCACAGCCCTCCATCAACGAGGGATGTCCTATGTCGGCCTAGACGCTTTCTACGAGCAGGCCGCAAATGGCACACTTCCAATGATTTCGTATATTATCGGTCCGACTGAACTTTCCGAACATCCGCCTTATTCTCCCCATGACGGCGCCTGGCTCCAGCAACAAGTTGTCAACGCTGTAACCTGGGGCAAGAACTGGAACAGCACAGCTTTGATCATCAGCTATGATGAGACAGGCGGTTGGGGAGACCACGTCAGCCCCTATCACGCACCCATGAACACGACGGCTGAATGGCTTGACGATCCTTACGGGATGTTTGGCTATACCTTTGCAGGGCCCGGGTTCCGGCTCCCATTTTACATCATTTCACCTTGGACACGGGGCGGCAATGTCTTCACCGAAAAGTCGGACCACAATTCGCAGATTATGTTTGTCGAGAAATGGCTGCAGGCCAAAGGCTATGAGGATGTCGTAACCCGTGAGATGCCTACCTGGCGTCGTGAGCAAATGTCCGATCTGACCGCGGCATTCGACTTCTCAAATCCGGATGTGTCCATCCCTACAATCCCCAAGGCGAAGATGCCACACAAGGATAAAAACGGTGTCTGGGACGGTTCCTCCTACTGCGAGGCTCAATACGCAGTCCAGCGTCCGCCCGTGCCGTACGGCAACCAAACCGAAAAGACCTCACTGGTCTCCGAAAAGGGGTTCAAGTCCGTGCGTGGATATCTGACCGAAGGGCGCTTCCTCACTTTCGAGGCCTCCGGGTTTGCGCTCTCAAACCCTGGCGGAAACGCCACGCACCTGGATGCAACCAAAGCGACTACCTCACACTCGGCCCGCTCTCAACGATGGGTGATTCACGAGACGTCCACAAACAGCGGGCTGTTCACCATCAGTAGCCCAGTAAACGGACGGTACATTGGGGCGGACATGACGCTGGTGAACAAGACCGCGGCAATGGTGCACAATATCACGTACCTCGGTGGTGGGCAGGGATATAACCTGCTGGACAGCAATGGCAAGTATATAACGATCGACAACGGCGGTGGTGTGGTTCTGTCCTCGTCAGCTCAATCGTTCTCGATCTATAGCGTCACTTGAGGTACCCTGACTTGACTGTCCACGTCTCGGGTCATAACGTGTTTCCTCACGACGAGTTCAGGCGGGAATGAGGTTTGCGTACGAGGAACTGGACGGGACTTTGAGTAGAAAAGAGGTCGTTGAAAGTTCATCAAGTCCAAGCCGCTTCATGGGAGAATCGCTAGCTCTGTAATCATCTCCTGCGTCCACACAAAGTCCAACGAGCCTACTGGCCAAGACTGTCGTACATGCGCTGCGGTATACGTTCTCAACGCTGACCCTTTGTGAATCTTTGACCCTGCGTTATATATACATGGTCTATTTCTTTCATTTTCATTTCATTTCACGACTATTTGTAATTAAAAAGGGGACCCAGCTACCTGGGTGGCTACCGTAGCCGGGGTTCTACACCGAACGCTCAATGCTCAACGCTCAATGCTCAACGCTCAATGCTCAACGCTCAACGCTCAATGCCCAATGCTCAAGGCTCAAGGCTCACCGCTCAACGCTCGATTCTCCAGCACTTACGGAGCTCACGTACTAATAGTAGATACTCTACAAGACTGGGCCACCAGGGACAGACAAGTCACTCAGGAGCAGAGCTTTCGACTCCGAATCCCAATTCCGACACGCCCTTGATACAGGAAAGGAAAGGGAAGGATCACAGATACTCACTTACAGATCGTGTCCCTCCCTCTCTTCGCCTCAAAAAAGGACGTTGCGGCTAGATCGTCTCCTTTGGTCGGAGATACGGGAATTATAAGATGATATGAATATACGTACGCACATACATATTTATTATATATACGTTGATCGTGTGTACATGGCTTACTTATGCTTCGTCCTTTGTTCCTTTGTTCCTTTCCTATCTTTTCAATTTCCTGTATCTTGCGTCTTGCGTCTTGCGTCTTGCGTCTGTTAACTTGCGTACTAGGCACTGAGTGATATAGATCGATAGGTATGTTAGTGAGAGAAATAGAGAGAAAGGGGGATTAGAACCTGTATCTCGTTCAGCATCATCTATACTCTCTGTAGGAACCGCGTGCCGGCCGCATGTACTCTACTCTACTCGTACCCAGTACGGCACAAGTCAAGTCGCGTCGAATACTCTGCTCTCACGGGAGAGGCGTGGTACCGGTTCACCCGCAGCGGCGGCGGCGGCAGCAGCAGCAGCGTGGATTCGGCTCTGCCACTCGTACAACACATGATGCATCACCTGTGAAACAGCCTCAACACCCCCCTCAAGACCTGATGAGCCATCAGTTGACTCGGCGGTACTCTCGGCCCCGTATACCCCTTTGGAGGCGGCTCCCACATGGGATTGGCGCCATGGTCGAGCGCGTGCTGCACCTCGGCCAACTCGAACCACCTGGCCTCCTCGAGCTCTGTCTCCGGGTACGTGATGGTCTCACCTCCCTCTTCACACTGGGCGATCGCGCCGATCAGCATGGTGGAAGGGTACGGCCACGGCTGGCTCGAATGGATCTGCACGTGGCCGACGCGCACGCCCGTCTCCTCGTACGCCTCGCGCCGCGTCGCCGTCTCGATGCTCTCCCCGGGCTCGACGAACCCGGACAGGCACGAGAAGTAGTTGGCGGGCCAGCGCTTGCCGCGGCCAAGCAGCACGCGCTTCGTGTCCGCCGACACGGCCGCGATGACCGCCGTCGGGTCTGTGCGCGGAAAGGCCTGGTTGTGCAAACCGATGCGCGTCGGGCAGGCTCGCGGGCGGGCCACGCCGCGGTCGGCCGGTGGACACACGACCTTGGCGCCGCCGTGCGTCGACAGCGTGCGGCCACCGCAGCTGGAACAGTACCGGTTGCGCGTGTTCCAGTCGAGCAGGGCGCGGGCATGGCTGTAGATGGCCGCCTGGGCGTGGTCGAGCGTCAGGTCGATGCGCGTGGGCGTGTGTTTTAGAAGGAGCTGCTGGCTGTGGCTGTGGCTGTGGCTATGGCTGCTCCTTCCCGCCTGTGTCGTCGTCGTCGTCGGCCGCTGCACCAGCCGCTGCTTGAACCCGGCGTAATGCTCCGACGTCACGTCCAGCGCAAAGTACGGCACGCCCGTGTACTCGCCCAGTTGGACCTTATCGCCGCCGCCGCCGCCGCCGCCCACACCGGCCCTCTCGGTACGAGTCGCAGTCTGATCCTCTAGATCCATTCCCAAGAAGATGACGTTCGGGTGGTGTTCGTCCGGGTCGAACGCGGCGATCTGATTCTTTTCGTCCTGCCCGTAGGGCCGGCCCATGGCGTCGGCCACGTCGTCGTAGCTCACGAACGCGAGCTTACCTTGCGGGTCGCGTAGCGGGTTCAGCTCCTCAAAGGTGAGATACCGGGCTGAGGGGTGGGTTGAGGCTTTGTCCAAGAGCTGGTTGTTCAGCCGGATGAACGACAGGCGGGTGATGGGTCCGTTAGAGAAGTACGCGTTGTGGCCTTGGCCGAAGATGTCCGATAGACTGGGGTTCGCGCTGGCCCCCGGACTGGACATTGTGGTGGTGGCAGATCCAAGTCGATTGAGTTGCGTCCGGTCGGTGAGGGAGCAATGGGGGCATTGAAGGCATCGAACGAGGTGAGATTAAACAAGGGACGAACCCAATGTCGGTCGGTACACGCTGGCCATGTAGCTGACGGGCATACGGCGGTATGTTTAAGCGCTGACTCTGCGGTACCACCAGTTACCGTGGGGAGAGCTACAGTATGTGCAGAGGAGTCCGCATGTACAGTACTTGTTCCGTAATAGAAATCCAGAATTATTTGTCATAACCCCCCAAATCATAAGGCTGTACGTTAGCCGAATGCGTGTGCCTACAGAGCAGAGTAAGTACATACCTCCGCACAGGAGCAGATGTATCTCGTGCTGTCGAGATCCGATGGTCATTCGTGCGTCCTTAAATGAGGCACGCTACTTACTGTCCACCGTATCAGATCATGTTGCTGAAGTAATGAAAGGAGTCGAATCAAGGTCGAGCTGAAAACCATTCCCCTGCCGTATACTCCAGGTCAGTAAGGAGGAAGTTGGTAGTACCGGTACTTGATGTACGTCTGTACAGCCGTGTCTTGTCAATAAGTGCACACGAGGTATGTATTTCACGTCAGGTTGAAGCCCGCGGCAGAGGCCTACTTCTCGAAGCCTGTTCCACCCGGTTTGGTTCTCCAGGATACACCATAGCGGATGACACTGGCCATGCGAGGGTACAAACCCGAGACTTCCAGAGATTTTCACGGCTGCGCTGAGTTCAGCGGGTCACAGAAAAGAGGTAGCCGGGCAATGACAGGATAGAAAGGGTTGTCCAGTGCGCAACACGAGGACTGGACAATAAGCAATGAGATAAATAGAGGGCTAGACGGCCACAGCGTCTTGTACACGGCTTCTTAGACTTGATTTACTGCCGGTCCACACACCATCTTGTAGTTGTCAACATCGTGACTAGCTCTCCCAGTCGTGTACCTATTCTCATTCCGCTGGTTTCCCACGAAGACCAGTCGACCGCGTCAACGTAATGATAGAGCCCTGCAAGAGTCGCAGCTACGAACGTGGTCCCAAGTTTGCGTGCTCGACCACAGTACAACGGCCTGGTCCTTCTTCGCCTGGGATTTCCTGCGGTGTTCGCTTTTGCGGGTAGCGACGAGTGATGATAGTGTCGGAGTCTCGCCCGTTCTGACTAGCTCGATACGAGTGTGAGTGTGCATCCTTGCCGCGCTCTGTTCCTTCGGTGGCTTCCTGGTAATAAGGATACTCACCCAGTTTGCTCGGGTCGATAGATGCTGGGAAATTGCGATGGACATTGTTTATGATACATTGCTTTGACAATGAGGTAGAGTGCACTGAGAGACGAAGACGACAAGCACAGTTGGGAGAAAGTAAATCGGGTCCGTGCGGAAGCCAGTCATGCCCCAAATAGCCTGTGGCTGTACGAGAGGCTGGCCGCATCTATGTTGGGAAAGATACTTACAGCAACGAAAGCGATATGGATCACCACATATATGGTGATTGTCAGCTGAGCCATGTCAATATCGGTCTTTGTGCTCAGACGGTGGATTGCTGCAGATGCATCGACTCGAGTACAAGAGCGTGAGATCGGGCGAGCGTATAAGTCGACGAAGTTCTGCATTCGCCCGGCCAACATGTCTACCCGGGAGCTGTGGCCATCAAAACCATCCCCCAAGTCCTCTAGGCCGTCACGAAACCTCATGTACATCCTCATCTCTCGAAACCGTTGCCAGGCTGGCCAGAAACAGTATGATACTCACAGATGCGCTCAAAGCGTACATTGGTCCGGGGTTTTCGCTAGGCTCACCATCCATGCGGGCTTCTCGGTGAGCAAGCCTATCTATTTCCGATCATATAAGATAGTAGCAACAGCATCCGGCTCCGGCCACGGGTAGGGTTTGTGCTTTTTGAGATGCTTATTCGCAGACATGCCGCGTCGGACACATGATCGCTTTTCACCACAAACGAGTGCGCAGACAACGATTGAATGAAAGGTGAAGTTAGAACTCATCTGGGACTCGCATCCGTGCTTCTTTCACTGGCAATCAAAGAAGACGGGAATGGCATCGTATGATTGACGACCACCACGCTGCTGCACAACGCTGCTGAGCAGTGCTGTCAAGACGCGGCGCTAGCTCCGAGTCGTGGCTGGACTGGATTCAGGTCGATTTCCAATAACCCGGATGACCGACCAGGCTGCCATGCTCGCCGGGGTGTTCATGGGAAGGTGTTCGTATTCGTGATGCGAGTGTGCTTTGACTGAGCTGTGAGAATGGCACAAGGAGGAGTAGGGAAAGAGGATGGAACTGAGCACGTTGAGACGGATTGAAGGGTTCTAGGACGGGCAGCTCCGGCAGCAAATGTCGTATAGTACGCCATGAAGGCAAGCTCTGAATGGTATAACCTGGAGTTTGAATTGACAGCTCGGTCAAGCACTCGATGATGGAAAAATCAGACCATGTTGTACTGTGTAGATGGTGAGTTCTCTCACCTTTGATTCTCCGCTCACCGTCGAAGAAAGCGGCATGAAATGAATGAATCATCGATATTACATAAGCGTTGCAGTGATGACTCGGTCAATCACCCAGTTGACGTGATGGAAACTTTCATAGTCATTGAGAATTCAGTCCCATCATCAGGAGGACACTTCGAGGACCATTTCGAGATATAGCTCATCCACCGTCGCCGAGATGACGGTCCAAAACCTGGACGCCAACGGCGCATCGCCCGATCCGGACATCGTCGTCCGAGGCCTTAGCTACAAGTTCCCCGACGGGTCCCTCGGCCTACGAGACATTAACTTGGACTTGCCCGCGGGGTCGCGGACGCTGCTGATAGGAGCCAACGGAGCTGGCAAGACGACGTTACTTAGACTTCTGTCGGGAAAGAGACTGGCACCCTCGTCCACCATTCTCATCGCGGGCGTTGACCCTTTCGCGGCTGGTCTCGAGGGCGTCACCTATCTGGGATTGGAATGGGTTCTCAACCCCATCGTCCGGACTGACATTGCCGTGCCCATCCTGCTAGATTCGGTGGGGGGAAAGCATTACCCTGAGCGACGGGATGAGTTGGTCCGGATCCTAGATATTGATCTGCGATGGCGCATGCACGCCGTCAGTGACGGCGAGAGACGGAGAGTTCAACTCGCCATGGGGTTGATCCGACCGTGGGATGTCCTTCTTCTGGACGAGATCACCGTTGATCTGGACCTGTTGAGTCGGAGCAACTTCCTGAACTGGTTGAGGGGGGAGACGGAACGACGCGGCGCCACCATCGTCTATGCGACGCATATCTTGGACAATCTCGTCGGATGGCCGACGCATCTGGTGCACATGCACATGGGTCGGGTCAAGGAATGGGGTGACATGGCCAAGTATGATGCCGAGACCGACTCGTACAGCCAGAGCGGCAACAGTAAACTTGGAGAACTGGTGTTGAAATGGCTCAAGGAGGACCTCGCAGAACGGGGGCCGCGGGATCCAAGTAGCCAAGGCAAGACCTACGAGAACTTGGACGGCAAGGGGGGTTATGGTGCTGAGAAACGGGACGAGTAGGAGACCTGGCTCAAGCGATGAAGATCGCTGGCGGTCGTCATAAAGGAGATACGCCGAGGAGGCACTTTGCTTTCGTTCTGATACCCCGTCTGGTCTTCAACAAGGCCATGAGCAGCATGCATACTTGGGGCGCTTGCAAAGGGTTACTGGCATGACGTGGTCTTAACACCATTTTGCAGGAGAAATAGCAGCAGACAATCTATTACTCTGATAACCGGAGACTCCGTTGTTGGGTATATCTGACCTTTTCTGCTCCTAAGACGAGAATTAAACATTCCATATACACGCTCCATTATGCTCCAATCCGGCTCATCGTGCTAGCATTCAAAGTCATGGTTCGCGGGCCATCTCTATGCAGGTTTCGCTTGCTGGTAACATGGTAACACGGTTGACGCTCACTGAACATAGTTGGCGGGAAACGGCCCTTGCAAGCCCCTGAGTTCTCCTTGCCACCAATCGTCAGTGCTCTCGGTCTTTTTGAGAACGCGGATCCGATCGCCCTCTCGAAATGCAAGATCGCCTTCGCTTTGGCCATTGAAGTCGTACAATGCTGTAACGAAAATGGTCTGCTGTGAGGGTAACCGCGGTGGGGGAGGGGGCGGGGGTCGCTTCTTCTGAGCGATCGATGCCATGGACACATTCGACGCGGCAGACGGCTGTCGATCACGAGAGAAATAGTCTGTGTTCGGCCCGGCCGGTGAAAAAGCCACGGGTGTGTGGTACAGGGACAGTGAGGGGGATGGACTCGCAACTGGTTCCGATGGAGTCAATGGGCCGAGGGCGGTCGAGGCGGCGGGCGACACAGATAGTTTCGACTTGGCATCCTGCGATGGCGATGGAGGGAGGTTCCTGGCGGGCGAGACAGACTGCTGGCGATGAGCATTAAACGCCGACGCGCTTGGACGGCGATGGCCATTAGTAGGATGACGGCCGTTGGAACCGTTCTCCATAGACGTCCTCGTTGCTTTCCCATTAGCGAGGATAGCTAGTGACTCCGCCTCACGTTGGACGGGTTTGAAGGCATCTGTCCACGATCGGATCACTTCGTCCATGGGTGGAGCTGGAGAAGGAAAGCCTTCTTCGGTACAATAAGTGTGCAGCATGGTGTAGTAGTGGCCCAGCAAGTCGTTCTGGATCTGGATCTGAGCGGCCAAGAAGTGAGGCAAGAGCGAGAAGACCGAAGTCAGAACCCGGGGCAGACAGTTCCTTAGGTTGTCGTCGGCGGCATGGTATGCCTCGGTGGCGGCATCCAGCTCGGATTGAGACTTCGTCAGAGTGGCATCGTCTCTTTCCGACCGCTTTGTCTTCTTCAGTTGCGAGTCGACTCTGTTTTGGTATCTCTCAAAGTCGAGTTTCCGGTCCTCTCGCTTCTTGATTGTCTTCCGCATGTAATGGAGGCTATCTTTGGCATTCTGGGCCGGCTTGATGAGCCTCTCTTCCACTTGGACCAGATCCTCGCTCAAATCTCTTTTCAAGTCCTCGTACTCTTGTTTCATTCTGGACGTTCGACGCATGATGTGGTCGGGGGTCTGAGCAGGATCGTGGCCATGGTAGTCGTCGCTGGCACCCACAATGGGGGCATACAGGAGGCTGTATTCATCGACGATGCGATGCTGGTGGGTCAAGATCGAAACCCAGGACTCACGCCATGCCTTCGAGGCCTCGATAATCTTTGAGAGGTCAGTTGGGGGAGGACAAAGACTTGGTGCCACGGGGCAGTGCATACCTTGGTCAGGAGCTTATCAGCCTCCTCAAAGTCCTTGAGGAGATGCGAGACCGTCTGCTCGTCTGCACTCCTCTTGCCCAACTTGCCAAAATGGCGTTGGACGCTGTGCATGGTGACTAGCCAAGGGCAGGACAGCCACAGGGACAAGAGCCCACAGAGTGACTTGTGAGTCGGCCAGGTTGAGAGTGTCTAGACAGGTGAGAGAGCGGAGGTGACTTCCAGGCTGTTGGACGCTTCGCCGGTCATTTGGTGGCACAGACAGGTCCACAAGCCTGTTGCTGCTGTCGCCGCGCCCGCCAATGTCGCTCGTGCAGTAGTCAGGGTCGTCAGGCTTGTGAGGCTCTGGAGAAACGAACGGCGGAGACGGGGAAAGAGAAAAGCGATTAGAACAGTAAACTGGCCAGCAGCATGGAAAGTTTAGCCTTTCGCCGGTTGGGGGAGATACACGGGGAGAAAGCGTTGAACTTAAATGGACGGTAAATAAAAGTCAAGCGACGGCATGTTGACGAATGTTTAAACCCATCGTTAGGTAAGAAAGGCATCTTCTTATCCGAGTTCCAGCCTCACTTGACGCGCGTTTCACCACCACCAAGACACGTACTCCGGACTGGGTACTGGGTACTGGGTACTGGACCCTCCGAGCCTCAGACCCTCAGACCCTCCGACCCTTCAGACCCCTCTCACCTGCCTCTGCCTCTGCCTCTGCCTCCGACCCTTTGGCTCATGTCGACATCCTGACCTCCGCCCGCAGTCAGAATGCCGCTGACGCCCTCTGCAGCTCCCCAGATGTCTCTCGGGTGCAACTGTGGTTGTGATCATGGCAACCCAGACTCCTGGCAGTCAATCCACGGCCCCCGTCCATGAATTCCGCTGTCTCTACACGCGCGACCTACACAAAAAGTCCAAGAAATGGCACGATGGCTCGGTCCGCTTCCACACGTTCAATCGACGCGTCATGGCCTACGATGACTCGCGGACCTTTATCGACGCTGTGCACTACAGGCAAGAGGAGGAATTCGCTGAAGGCGTGGAGATACGGCTCGGCCGTGGTGTTCTGGTGGAAGTTGGAGAGCGCCTGGGACAGACACAAACCGATCTGGCTCCCATCCTCGACAGACAGCGTGCAGAGAAGGGCCCATCACCTCGGAGACAGCCTCTCTCACGCGCGAACCGACTACAGGCGACTGCATCTTCTCAGCGGCCGAAGTCGCTCAGTGAAGTACTAGGGCCGTCCCAAGGTCGATTGGGACGCGCAAGGATTCTATATCAATCGCCCTACGAGCAGCGATACACCTCTGCCCGCGGAGAGCAACCTGAACCTTCCCCAAAACGACAAAGACTTTCCAGCGACAAGGAAAACCGTTTGGATGAAGGACACCCGTCCATTAGACCTGCAAGACCCAGCTTACCTCAGCCGAAGCAGCCGAGTAAGCCGATCCCGCATCCGAGTCGTCCGAATGAGCCTCCCATCGAGTTCGAGGAGGTCCTTGACCTTTCAGCGGACGACGAGCCCAAACGACACCCACCGAAGCGTGTAAGGTTAACTGCAAAATCTAAGGAAACCCACAAAGAAGCTCCTGAGACGCCTACGCTTACCTCTGGATCCTCACATCCGAGGTCGACTAGTTTGGTCCGCCCTGTTGATCATGCGGTACAAGCGGGCAAGGATAAAGGGAGCGGGAAGAAACCGGAGCACTCTTCGAACTCGAACAAGCCCTCAACAAGAACACATCCCATAACTTCGCGGTCCTCGTCCACTAAAACCGCCAGACTCCTTCTCAGCCGACCCAAACCAAGGCAAAAATTGACATGCGTACTCCCGTTTTCATCTGGTCCATCTAGAGGGGCGCCTGTAGATCGTCCGCTCCTCCCATCGCCATGTCGAAAGACGGTTAGCACTTCGCTTTCGCCTACAGCCAAAGCTCTACACTTAGACACCGACGGTCAGACAGTTGCAGATGACCCTATACGGACAATACAGTCGCCAAATTGTCATTCCAGTATACGCGAGCAACAATTGTCACCTCACCATGGCATCTCCAGCCCCCTGTTCATGCCTGAGGACAATGTCGACCCGAAATCCCCTCCGCCTAGCAGGGTCTTCACGCAAGAAGAGTTCCACTTCTCGGACATTGAACACAGCGAGACTTTCGAAGACCTGAGTGCAGTGGGTATCTCGCTCCGTTCGGTACGTGCAGGAGGGACACAGAACTCACCACAAAACGGAGCGGAAACGGAAAGGGGAAATGGGCCAGCAGGGCGGACTGGGTCAGATGCGCAGCTTGAGCCTGAGCCCGAGGATGAAGCAGAAAGCCCGTCAGTGGCAAAAGCAGAAGATCATGTGCAATCCCAAAGTTTGCAGAACCCAGAGGAAGCGGAGATCGGGCAGGATGTGGATGAGACCGGATCCAGAAGTCGGGCGGAAATAGTCGACACGGTGGAGTTTGGTGAACAAGAAAAGGTGGCCGAACCGGAACCTGAAACACGTCCTGCACCGAAAATGCTTGTCATCAAGGAGAGACAACCCGAGGCAGGGAAAGGGGTCGGCAATCATGAGCAGGCTGAGACTCGACGAATCCCTCAACTATGCATCAATAATGTGCACCAGCCTTTCACATATCGCGCTGGGGATCGCTTGCTTGTCCAGAATCAGCCTACTCCTGCATCGGGCCACACTGCTGGCTTTCAGGGACGATCGTTCCGACGAGTCCTCTCCGAGAACGATGCGTTGGACGACGAGGATCGTACTCCGGTCCCCCCGCCCGATGTGTCCGACCCGAGACACCCACTGGGATTACTGGAGAATCTGACACTGAGGAGAAGTTCGGCGAAGTCCAGGAGCCCAAGCAAGGTGCAACGGTGTGCCTCCGACACGTTGGCTTGCGACACTGCAGAGCAATATGTTTCGAGGCCACCAGCACAGGGCTCAAAGGGACCTACAGGACCCTGGACTGTGGAGGAAGCGTTTCTCTTGTTTGACTGGTGGCCTGCTGAGATGGAAAAGCCGGGATATTGGATTGACACGACGATAGAACCTGTATCGCGTGCTTCCCGGGAGCCTCACGGCAATTGGGGTGGCATAACGACGGCGCGCCAGTTCCTGCGTGACGATGTACATGCGTTATGAGCAGTCATGAGTGATGACCTGATACCATACCCTGAACAGTAAACTATCATCCTCCTCAATATTTACAGTAGCCTCGTGCAGCGCAGCATGTCACGGAAAACTCCGCTTTTCTATATCCACGCTATCGTGCACCAGGATAGGATATTTGATCTCCCCGTCTTGTACCGGTCTCCTTCCTCCCAGCGCGTTCTATTCCCTGTCGGAGGAAACATGGCTACGTTGGTAATGCCGCCTCAGTCTGGCCCCAACTCGTTGCCAAAGAGGTCAACACCGAGTATTCTCGAAGAAGTCGCCGCCTCGCAAGACCATCTTCGCAGTCGCCTGGCCGGCGCTCTGACCCAGCCACCACCCAATGTTCCTCCAGACTCGTTACCTTCGGTGCCATTGATCGACATCGGTGCGTCGTTTTCGGGTGATGATCAAGCCAAAGCGGCCATCGCGCAACAGATCCGCGAAGCGTGCGTGAGTACGGGGTTCTTCCAGATCAGCCACCACGGCATCTCGGCCGAAGCCATGTCCGGGGTGTTGAGGCAGGCGGAACGATTCTTCCACGACCTGTCGCCGGAACAGAAGCACGAGCTGCACGTCAAGAACTCACCCTTGTTCCGCGGGTACGAGCCGGCCGATTTCAGCTACGTCAACCCGGACGACATGGGCAAGGACGGATCGGGCCACGCGCATCAGCAGGAAACCAAGGAGGGCTTCAACTGGGGATACGAGCCGGGGCTGGACCCCACGGGCGGCGACGGGAAGTACGTCGAGCTGGACGGCCAGTCTCTCACGGCGGCAGCAGCAGCAGCGACCACAGGCTCGGGCAACCTCTGGCCCTCCGAGGCCAGTCTACCGGGCTTCTACGACGCCGTCAAGCTCTACTACGGCCAGGTGCTGCAGCTCGCCCGACATCTGTTCCGACTGTTCGCCCTGTCCCTGGGTCTGGAGGAAGCGTATTTTGACCCCGTCATCACACACCCGGGCGGCATCGCCCGGCTGCTCTACTACAAGAGCCAACCTGCCACTGCCACTGCTGCTGCTGCTGCCGACGCAGCCACAAACGGCGCGCTCAGGGAGGGCGAGGGCGAGGCCGAGGGCAACTCCAAACTAGGTCTCGGCGCCCATACGGACTACGAATGCTTCACGCTGCTGCTCAGTTCCAGCAATCCGGGCCTGGAAATCCTGTTCCCGCCCTCCCCGCTCACCGACGACAAGCCGGTCTGGCTTCCTTGCCCCGTCCGGCCCGGCACGTTGACGGTCAATGTCGCCGATTTCCTCATGCGCTGGACCAACGGGCTGTACAAGTCCACCATCCACCGAGTGGTCAGCCGGCCGGGCAGTGGGGAGAGGTATTCCGTGCCGTTCTTCTTCAGCATCAACTACGATGCCGACGTCGAGGCCTTGCCCGAGGAAGTCGTGGGCAAGAGCATCTATCGCCCGATGAAGGCGGGGGAGTACGTCCTTGAGAGACTGAGGGCAACGACGACGACGACGACGACGACGACGACGCCGACGACGCCGATGTGATGCGGGTGAAAATGGAGCATGTGTGAGAGAGAAAGACACAGGTCGCATCCTGCTGCTTGCTGCTGCTGCTGCTGCTGCTGCTGCTGCTGGTGGTGGTAACAGAAGCACTTACTGTAATTCAGTAACAAAGGGCCTGGGGGAAGAGACATCTAGTTGGTGACGCCACCACCTGTTCACTTCTACCTCGTCTTTAAAAACATCTCTTCTTATCCTCAGCGCTAGAGCAGATGATTTCAACCGTGCCTTTGCTGCCGTGGCGTCCCATGTTTGTCTCAATGCGGGTGGTTCACAACACCTTCACAGAGACGTCACCAGACCCGGATTATAGACGCCCAACCACCTCAAGAAGGGGGAAGAGCTGCCGTGCTTTTCTCCTTGGACAGACAGCTTATTGGGCTCGGCGGTCGGTGCAAGAGACGGCTAAATCGTCACTGCTCGCCCAGGGCTCAAGTGGTCATGTGTGGATAGTAATAGGAAGTACAGAAGCCTCACGGTCCATAGCCATATTCATAAACCATATCCGTGCTTGGGTTCGTAACGTACCGGCGTCTGCAAGTCCAACGTACATACATACCAGCAATTAGTGTACAGCAACAGGGGATGCAGCACGCAGGGTGTAAATTAGACAGCTACCACATCGCCACTCTGCTGTAGCCACAAACAGAACGCTCACTTCGTCATTTAGGTACTCCATCATCGCGACCGCCCACGGTAGAATAGATAATCCTTCAAACTCAACTCCTCAATCAACTCCTCAATTCGGCGAAAATATATGGGAATATAACCTCACAGGCCTTGGCAAAAACCAGCACGCCCTGCACAGCCGACAAAGGCAGTAACAGGACCCCATTCTCCACAACGAGCACCCCGATGGCCAACACGGCGACGCTAAAGAAGTGATAAAACAGCAACAGCGGAGACGGCAACATGCCGCCCAAGAGCGAGACCGGGTCGTCAATGCATCTGCCTCCGCGTTGGAAATACCGAAAGCAGCCCTTTTGTAGGTACTTGAGCTGCCACGCGTCGGCGGCAAAGAGACTGTACAGAGCCTGGGCGAGAATGTTGATCACCGAGGTGAGGGATTTTCGGCGCCAGTGGAAGGTACGCATTTGGGCGAGCACGAGCCGTGTGTCGCCCAGGTCGGGGACCGTCGTCGGGGAGAGCAGGGACGAGAGGAGGACGACATCGGACAGCGCGACAGTCATGCCCCCACCCGTCAAAGGGTGGCGCATGTTCATTGCATCACCAAGGATCGCAAGCCCGGGAGTGATGTTCGTGGAGGGCGGGAGGAAAGAGTTGGGCATGCTTCGGAGGGCGCCACTCTCCAGGGCCGTGAGGAAGGACGGCTGGACCATGGCTGGGAGGGAGGGCAGGACGACAGATTTCAAGTGGCCTTTGATGCCGCCGTTCTGGCTCGATGTCGTGGATAGACCGTCGGGGACATCGACCAGAGCGCGGGTCTCGTGTGTGCCAATTTGATAGAGTAGCACTGGGGCATTGTCGCCTAACACCACGGTGCCGTGTTGCGGAATCGGTAGCGGACAGTCGATCAGTTCCAGACCCCAAAACTTGGACTTCACCCGTGGTGTGTGCTGGATATATGACTTGCGGAACTTGGATGCGTATCCATCGCAGACCACGGTCAACGAGCCAAAGAAAAAGTCCTTTTTTGTTTTGTGAGTAAGGGACTCGACGCCCAGGATTTCCGGGCTGGCGCTTGATTTGATGAGAGAGGTCGCTTCGGTCTCGAAGACCGTGACGTTGGGATGCGACATGGCTGCCGCTCGCAGCCGCGAGACGAATCGCCCATGGTGGAATGAGCGCCCTTCTGCTCGCTTACTGGATCCCGCCTTTTCCGATACTTGTGCTTGTCTCTCTTGTGACAGGGCCGGGTAGGGGATCGGCACCTGCTCATCGTAATATACCACAGTGTATCCCTTGACTGGGATGGCATCGATATCGTCGAGGGTGTGTCGCAAGCCGAGTTTCTCCAACGCCTGCACACCTCCGGGTTGTAGCAGCTCGCCTACTATGCGATCAGGCTCCTTCAGCGACTTTTCCAGCAGTATCACGCTTCGTCCTTGGTTGGCCAACGCCACCGCCAGGGCGGAGCCGAGAATTCCTGCACCCACAATCACAACGTCGGCGTCATGATGGAGCCGCCGCCGCTCTTCTTGCAGGTCGGGCTCTGAGTCAATCGAAGAGTCGGAAGGCGAAGGTGTGTCGAGGATGAGAGGCATTGCGAGCGTAGGAGTGTGTAGGACGGTGTCGCGTTATCTTCGCATGAAGCGGCGCTGGGTGAAGTCAATGTGAAATCTCGTTGGATTCAAGGATCTGTGTGAAATCTCCTTGGATATGAGGTACTTCTTGGGTAGCGCCGATGAAGTGGCGTGAGGCGTGGTATGACATAAACGTTGGATCTCGTCGTGACTGAATCTTGTCGGTTGCGACATGTGCCGGATGCTCGATTAACTCGAGGGACAATAAAATTCCCTAATGAATCATGATTGGCAGTCGAGATCAGGAACACGATTCATGCAAGGCACCGTCCAATGAGAACCGGGCTGCGGGCTCCGCTTTCGCTATTTCCGAATCGTACGAGTGGCCAGCGTCATTCAGCTCCTCAGCCTCGCCAGCTGCCGCCTCAGCCTCGTCATCGTCCTCTACTCTTGAGCCATCTGCTCAGCGTCGCTTGGCTTAAAAATGGTCAGTCTCTTCCATTCAATCTCGCTATTCTATTCATCTACGGTCCGTCCCCTTGCCGCTTCCCCTGCCAGGGTGGCGGAATTCCTCCCCAGACCTTTTTTTTTGGTGATTTGGATCTGGCACGTGGCAGTCAAGCCCGCGCCAGCTTTTTGCTTCCCACGGCGCCCCTTTTGTTTTCGTACAGCTTCTAATCAGCAAAAGAGAAAAAAAGATCAACGGCTGGCTGGTCTTAATGCATCCGGTCCCATGCAATCTCGTCATCGTCCCGGAGGCCATCTCTGCCGACTCGTAAAACGGACTTTCTTTCGAGGCCAAAATATCTCGTCGAAGCGGCGTCGAGCCCCCTGGACTCCTCGAGTGGTCGGATATTCGCCTTTACTGAGCCGTATATGTGTAAGTGCCCACCAATTGTTGGGGGATGTGAAAATTCCCACCAGTCCTGAAGAACGCCACTGCCGTCTCGTTCGTTGCATCCCAATCGGGCTTGCTGCTCTTGGTAGATCGACAACCGCCAACAATTCTGGTCCATGCATAACCCAAAAATACATGTAGCGACTAGATGTGTGCTGCTGATATCAAAATGCTGCTTTGAGTCAACACCGGACCGGCTGCATGCCGTGACGGCAAGCGATCCGACATTGAGATGATGGGTAGCAGTGTCGCAAACTTGCCAGTGCTAGTACGCGGCTGGTCTTGCAAATCTCCAAAGGAGTGCCTAACCGCCTTTTCGAAGGAATTCGTCGGCAGGCGGCGTTTCCCCACTAGAGAGATTCACCGGCTGCGCATCGTTTTCCGACTTGACCGTCTTCCTCTTGCTCTTCTTCTTCTTTTGCATTTGCCAGCCGCTGCCGCCACCAACACCGAAGGCAGGACTGGCACCTTGGGGGGAACCGCTGGCGTTTCCACCAATTCCGTTGGTTCGTGACGTAAGAGCTTTCTCATGACCATACCCTTGGTTGTTTAACGCCGTCGCACCACTAGGCATGGGATCATCGTGATCTGAGGAATCTCCACAATTGAACGTCTCAACCCTGGGCGTAGGTGTTCGGACTTCCTCTACCGAGGAAAGATGTCTGTCGAGAGGCCACGCCACGCCACCGGCTTTCTTCGTTGCACCCAGACCCGTTAACCCCGCTGCGTCCGCCGGTCTGGCGGCTTCGTTGCGAGCCCGCGCGGACGAGTTTGTGAGTGGCAAGTGCCCATTCACGTATTCCGAACTACCGTTGGGAAAGGCGTGCTTCTGTACGTGCAGGGAGCTGATGGGCGATCCCCGGATGGAAGGCACACTTTCGCAAGCATCTTGTGATTGTTCATCCGAGCTTGAGGGCGTGTCAAATGCCAAATCTTCTGAAGTGGACCCACTGATATTAACGTTATCCTCCGGATCGTTGAGCGACAAGGTGGTACGCCTTCGCCGCGGAGAATTGATCGAGCCATCTACAATCAGTGGCCCGGGCCTAGATTTCGGTGCTTCGGCCCGCCTCTGACCTCGCTCGGTCTGCTGTGAAGCGGGTTCAGGCTCTGATCGAGGTTCGGCTGTAACGGTGGGAACTGTCGTATGCAGCGGCGGCGTATGCATCACTTCCGAAGGCCGAGTGGAGGCTGGGGCGAGTTGTGGAGAAAGGCCGCCATTCTGGATGGCAAGGCCGACGTGCGACGGTACCGGAGAGATGCCAGTGCTGTGGGTATAAGCGGATAGTGACGGCGGTTGACCGACGTAATATCCCACATACTCAGCCGGCCTGCGCACCGGATCATATATCGATCCAAGTATACCGTAGCCGTTCTCGAGCGTACCCCCGTACGCTTCCACCTGAGACGTTGATGATGCCGACGACCTACGATCCGTGGCAGCGTCCTGCAGACTGGGGACGTCAGGCCGATGCACTTGTCCCAGAGTAGTAAGAGGCACTGCTCTTGCAGGTTGTGACTGCGCCCGCAACGACCCTCCTAGGGATGACTGTGTCACCGAAGTGCGCCGTGAATACCTGCGCATTTCTGGAAGGCCTGAATTCAGCCTCGGCGATGGAGGGTTGGTGGACACACCTTGGTTGAGCTGACTAGCAGAGAGGTAGGGTGAACGAGGGAAGCCGTTCTGATACAACGGTGCCGACAGCGGAGCTCGACCAATGCCATTTGCGTCGCCGTCGTCTTGTGCGGCATATTGGCCGTACGGCTGTTGAGCGTACGTCGCCATGAAGCCCCTCTGTTGTAGACTCTGTTGATATAGTTGCATTCTGAGTTCCTGTTCCTGCATCTGTAGGTATCGGTACTGCTGGAATAGCTGATCGTGGAGCAGATGCTGCTGGTGTTGCTGCTGAAGTTGTTGTTCCTGAGTCATCATTGAATACGGAAGATTGCGCACGTAGTTTGCGTTGCGTACGGAAGGGTTTGATGACCGCCGTCCGGTCGAACCCCTGCCCAACGAAGTTGCACTCCTAGCACTACGGGCCGCATTACGGCCTCCGCGTGACCCCTGGGTCGGAAATTGTGCAATTACTGGGCGTGCTGAGGGTGGGACGAACATCTCCGAAGGCTTGATCTCGTCTGGCGGATAGACAAATTGCTCGCAGCATTTCAGGAGTTTCCCATCACCTATCAAGTCAAAAGCCCGTCGGAGCTCCAGGTGAATGCCTCGCATGGATGTGTCGTCTGCCGTGTTGGCCAAGTTCCTTGACAGGTTGAACGGCTCCTCGACGCAAAGGCGATTGTCCTGCAATAGCTGCCACGCCTTCTCGGCCTTTGACAGACAGCGGCCCAGTCTGACGGAAACCACATTCTGCTCGAAGTCGAGCTCGTGCCCATAGTAGCGAAAGAAGTGAAAGAGGAGTTCGCCAAGCGAAGATTTGTTGCGGCTGCCGTAGTCCTTGTACGCCTCAACGTTGCGGTCGAAGGACACGTTCACTCCCGCCACTTCTTTCACTTGCAAGTTGGGCTGTTGCTGTAAAGTGGGCAAGATGGGAGGGTCTCTCGTCTGCAGAAAGTTCAAGGCAAGACATATCCATGTGTAGGAGCTAAGCGTGCCCCCCAGCGCTTGGGAATGTTAGTACCAGATGCTTGAATGGAAATCCAAGGATGACATACCAGCATCATTCAATATCCTCCTTTTCGCCCAATACTTGATGATCATGGCCAAAGGTCTCACTCGGCTGTCGATACTCACGTAGGCCCGCACCATTTGGGTATTCTCCAATGCCAGAGGATTGTTGACATTGATGTCACAAGCGACTTGCAGATCGGGATCCCAGATCTTGACAATGGGCACCTTGGCGGAAGAAACGCATACCACTCTTTCCATTCCATGCCTGGCGAGTAATTCCGCGATGTTGCATACTCGCTCCATCTCTTTGCAGTCTGTCGTGATGCAGATATCGACATCTGAATCAGCAGTCCCCAGACTGTTCCCCGTGGAACCGAACACATTGACCTTGATTGACGACGTGGGCCACCTCTCCCGTAGGATCTTGTCGAGTTTTTCAATGAACCGGGATCGTCGCTCTTCGCTCTCGGCGGTGGGTTGTAACTGCTCATAGAGCTTTTGTACCTCTTGCGTCAGCCTTTCGTCCTCCTCACGTGTCAATCGGAGTTTCAACTCCGATTTCACTTTCTCCAAGGGGTCCGATCCCAACGAGTAAGGAACGCGTCGCCGTGCTCTTTGCATCCCAGTTTCGTATTTGCAACCTCCGTATCGATTCCGGCCTGCAGGAGGCGTATGGCTCTTGTCAGACGGTAATGAGAGGGGGGAGCCATTTTTGGCTGGGGGCTCTGGAGAAGGGGAGGATCGGGATTCGGGACGCTGGAAAGGGGTGGACGGCATGGATTTGGATTGTGAGGAGACGTGAGTCCTCCTCGCAGCAGAAGCGGGAGGACTGCGATTGGCATCCACTTGCATGTTAGACTGTGAGGCCTTCGTGGATGGCGCGGTCATCGGGAGAGGTGCAGAGTTCCCATCATCTTCCAGCACGCCGTAACTCATATGACACTGAAGCGGTGAAATTATCGGAGAGGACTCGGCCAGATAGAGAGCGCGAGATCCAGTCGCCAGGACACTGTGTTTGAAATCTTCTCCTTCGAGTATAGTCTGCAGAGGGTGAGAGGCCTCTGGTGGTTCGGAGGGCGTCAATGATGGATCGAGGTCGGTTCGGTTGGCAAAGTGCTAGGTGCAAGTCTTGATAGCAACGACCAGTATCCTCCCCAGAGAAATTGAAATCCAACAGACGGCGTGGCCAGATATCTCCAGGAAGACTCCAGCTGACCAGAGCGGAAACCTCGAGATTTCGGACGTACTTGTCTTAGTAAGTCCGGCGGGGGTAGCGACAGGAGTTGAAGATCAACGTGTCCGAATCTTGCAGGATGCGAGGGTCTCGTCTTCAGCCAAGTTGTAGGCGTGTTTTGCAGGTGCAATTGCAGGAGCTTTGCAGTTGGACGGCGGCAGCGTCGCCTTGCGGCTATTGGGGTTGCCTTTGTTCGGGAGGGAATACTGGTGATATACAGGGTTGAACATGCGAGCAGAGTAGAATAGGACTGCTAGGCGCGTGTCGAGAGGAAGAAATGCTCAGGTTTGCACGAGGATGGGTCGAGGGGCAGGTGGTGAGTAGGAGGTGGTGAGAGGATGGTCGAGGATGCAGTGCAGTTCTGTAACGAGATGATGCTCGCTTGTTGCTCGTTCCCGGCCGCTGCTGTGGTGCGTTGCACTGTGTTCTACGGAGCACTGGAGGGCCGCCGAGAGACAACGCCTGTTAGCTGACGGTAGGCTAGTGGGATGGCTGCCTGTGGATCACGTCCGAAGAGCCACGCCCGCAACGCCCTGGCAAAGACCCTGGAACGGCAGTGAACGGGTTATTTTAGTGCCAAAGCATTAGGTTTAGGGAAATGTACTCCGCACCCGCAGGCTCTTCAACAAAGGAGATGGCCACGGAGGAGTGCCCAGTGCGTTCCCCTTTTAGCTGGACGGGAGCCAGTTTGTGCGGCTGCTCTCCTAGCTAGCAAGCAAGCCATTTCTTTGCCACAACGGACGCACTGCCATTCCCTCTGAACAACTACCTTCCGGTGGTTGGCCTCAATTTCAGCTTTGCACCCAACTGCGCACTCGGCTGTTCCGCCTTTCCAATTTCGAACCATCATTCAGCACAGAGCAAGAACTTACAGGTGTAAGTCGGTCATGTTCCACGGCATGGCAAGGCAGAGCCTGGCTGTCCGGCCCTGCATATGCTGATGGACTTCCTGATGAACTCGACCTATTCTAAACATTGACTGTTCCTTTGAGGGCGAGCTTCGGGTCATTTGCTCTGGTGTGCGTTGCAGGCGGTGTGGTCCCTGGATATTTCACCGTGCTCCAATATATGCAGTGGTCTACTTCGCACTTGTCGGTTTGAAACTAGCGCGTCGCGTCTCCAGAGAAGATCGTGTTTGCCCTTCGACTCAACCACTTCAAAATAGTAGCACCACTGGTCTGCCGGTGGACGATGCGCTCTGCTCTGACGACAGAGGAATCAAGGCACCCGCCGAGAGCACCTAGGCATGACTCTACCAAGCTTCGAAGCCACAAATTACTGTAGCCGGTGTGGATGGAACGAGCTGCCGCCTGAGGCATTAGAAGTCCTTGCGCTCCGCATGATATGTACACAGCTTCGTGTCGTGATTGAGTCAGCGCACTCAGAGGGGCTCCTTTATGAGCGCAAGCAGGGTGTGAGACGAGATGCCCTCTGACTACATAAGATTCTGACCAGATCCTTTGTTGTACGCTTCCATATATAGACCGTCGGCTGTCCTTGCAATCTGAGCTGACTCTACTGGCCAATAATACTACAGGCGAATTTTCCCTTGTATCATACGTGTACCGCAAACACCACGGGAGACTGGCATAGTCATCTGTAGTTGCGATTCACTCCACCCTTAATTTATGCTTGCAGCAGTCTGGGTGACACTTCAACTTGACTCCTGGTTCAGGCAAACGTCTTTGCCTGAGCTGCAATGAGTCAATTGTAAAGGGTACGAAGTAACGAGGCTTGATGGAAAATAGATTTTTGTGTTAACTGGTGAGAGGGAATGCTACGCCTGATCGCTTCTGTTGCTGGCACAATCTCGGCGACCAGATGACTCTGGCGGGAAGCGAAGATCGCAGTTTTCCTGTCGTGAAGACAACCAATTGTCGTTTGACAGGAGAGCACACTCCCGCGCACAATTTTGCAGTGGCGCTCATGAGCATTCCAAGCATGTCTTACCCTGACCGCGCATTGCTTTTTGGCTGAGCTTCAGGTGGCAGCTTCATAGCTTTACAGCCGTAGCAGAAAGCTCGACCGATCTCAAGTGATGAGCCTGGTGATAGTTTTGTGGAACGATCCGAGATTGAAGGACTTGCTGAAATCACAAACCGGACCGAATCACGGGCAGTAGCAGCGACTATTTTCTGGGGATATTTACGACGCGGACAGCTCGCGCTTGAGACTGCTTGCACTTCAATTACCAGCCTAGTACTCGTAACCTTCACCCAGGCGAATGGTCTGCTGTCCCGGCTGCTGATTACCGGTGCTGGAACGGAGATGGTAAATAGGTAAGTATGCCAATTCTGTGCCACCAGCAAGACTTCGTTTTGAGCCCCACCTGGATCGACCTCGTGGCCAGCACGATGTGCGTGTGTGAATGAGTGTGTGTGTGTGTGTCTAGTGTGCACTTTGACACACGGGGTATATGGAGCTGTTGTACGGAACATGGAGTATGGGGTACGCAGTAAGTCTTGTAACTATTGAGAGGTGTCGTGAGGCTCTGTGTTTGTGTACAATACCAAGTGTAGGCTTTCACTATGGTGCAGGCCAAAGAATCAGGATGACGGCCAGAATGGGTAGCTGCTGGCTACCCCATGAGCAGCGCTCTCCATGAGAGTCGGATCGTTCGGATTGGTACGAGGAGACGGACAACGTGCAGGTGTTGGGTCGTTCATGCAGAGGTGATTGAGGGATATTAAGCCCACATCCTGGCGGTTCGTGGTACAAAAGCATGCCCTTGCTGCCCCTGGTACAGTAGTTCCAGAGCTACGTCAAAGGCTTCTCTTCTCACCTTTCGAAGCTGCAGGCCATTGACGGGTCGGGCTCTCCGCAAGGACTTGTGTGGCGGAATGGCAGCCTTCGATCGTTCGGGTTGAAAGGAAAGTGAAGAAGCAGATGCTCATTCAATCCCCCACTTGACCATGTGAAATAATTTACCAACATCCTCTTGGCTCCACCATGGAGAGACAGTTTGCTTCGTAGTCTCCTGCGCCGGCTGCCACCAAAACAACCAGGATGCTGGTGTCGCCAGTCGGGCGGGGGGGGCGCAAACGGGCTTCGACTTCTTTTCCTGATCACATTCCTTCTGGAAGAGATGTGATTTCGGTGCATCGCTGCAAACGTCACAACCACACTCACCAGTCTGCAGTCAGGTGTCTTTCGATCCTCAGACCTCGATGCTGGAGGAGTTTGCACCTAGTGTTGCCGCTTACCCAGCTACTTAAGCCAGTCATCGTTAGCTCGTGCATAGGGATGGGGAGGAATGACCCGCCTGTGCGGTGTCTCGTCCAATGCCTGGCAGTCGCCCATCAGCATTCTCTCCAGCACGAGGCAATGGATGCAGCGAGAACTGGTTGCGAAAGCGATCCACCTGGTCTTTTACCAATTTGTCACTGCTGTTGCTGTGATCCCAGAGTACTCCGAACACTGTACTGGGTAGCAGACACAAACTTCTCCTGGAGGACTACTCCGTGTTGTTCGTGCAGAGAGAGAGGGGGAGAAGCGCAGCTCCCGGACTTGTGTCCTTCCGTCGATTCAAGCCGAGGGATCCAGCGCAGGTGGTACAGTTTGTGGATGCCTCTCGCTCCCACTTCGGGTGCCTCTGACTCGCTTGCATGAGGTTACAAGGGCCCTTCGAATTTCCCTCTCGCCCTCGTGGATCGTGGATGTCGGGTGCCAAAAGTGGTGCTAACGTCAACCTCGCTCTGAGCACCGAACATTTTTGCCTGACCCTCCCCGTCTTTCTCCACGCCTGCGTTTTTCTCGTTGTCTCTTCTTGTACTTTTTTGGTGTCGCCTGCCGTCGCCGACTGCAGGCTCCCTTCACGCCCCCTTCCTGCAGTACCACCTGCTCCCTGCTCTTCCGCGAGGACCCGGGGACTCGATCTCCTTGATCTGTAAGTTGAGAATTGCTGTCCATTCGCGTGGAGCCCCGGGCATGTCGAGCGATGCAACGAACTGCCCCGTTGCCATTGGTTCCAGGTGACCGATGGTCGAGAAAAATGCGAGCACTCCCCACTCGACGCCCGCACCAGATGGCAAAGGACCAAACCAGACACACACCATGGTCTAAACCCCTCCTCCATCCGGCATCACGTTTCCTCTTCATCGTTCTAGCCAGTCGCATTCATCTTCTTATATTACCTTTGTGTTGAAGGCGTGGTTAACGCTTTTGTTCGACAGCTAGACTTCATCCTACGGGTATTGCCTACCGACCTTGCCAACCCTATCCTCTCGGTGCGCACGTACCCAAGAGCTCTCACCTAGTAGCGGCCTGAGGTACATTGGGAGACATGTCGTTTCAATACGAAGCTCAAGGATGGCAACAACCCGGCCGGCAGCCATCGTGGGAGCAGCCGCCTCCCCCATCAAGATCAGGTGGCTACAACGCATGCGAAATATCAATAGGGTGATGCTTATGCTTCATACAGGCGCGAGTTCTACCTCTCAGCGCGAGGATGGCATCGCCTTCGCCACCCAATTTGAAGGTGCGTTATGCGGCATGCCGTGGAATCACATATAGTGACTGAATCACAGAGGTGGATCGAGCCATGGACAACCTCGTCAAGAGTGGTAAATTTTATGCTGGCGGACCACGTCCGATGGGCGCTATGCGCCCTGGCGCAGAATTCGGTAAGCATTAATTGAACCTGGCATTCCCAGACGCAGGAACTCATTGCATCCAGGGCCCAGGGCGCATGGTGGCCGTCATG